CCACTGTGAAGACTGTTGTCTGCCACTGCAGAGTGTGAACACTGTCTCCCTACCAAGGGTCACGGGAGGGCACTAAGCCAGCAAATTATCTGATGTGTTTTAGAACACGGCAGAATGAGGACAGGGTGAGCACCAGGAAAACCATTTAAGTGATTATCATCAAAGCAAGGGATGCTAACTCTGAACTCCAGCGATGGTAGGAGGAAAAGAGAGGTCAGAAGAGAGAAGAGAAGTAGAAGAGACCAAATCTGTCAGGCTGGGGGAACTGGAGGTGCAGGGAGAAGCAAGTGAGGTGACAAGATGACACCCAGGATTCTTGGCTCTTCATCAACAGGAAATAACAAAGGAGCAGATTTGGAAGATGAGACTCTTCTTGACATGTTAGCCTGTGTGGCTCCCAGATGTAGCTGCTCAAATATTAGTTGATAAGCAGAATAAAAACCATTGACTTCAAAGTTTGCAGTAAGTAAAAGAATTCCTTAAGGAGATGTAGACCTTGGTTTCATAATTCCTATATGCAGCATATTAAAAGACCCTTTATTTGAGGTGCAAAAAGACTGCATAAGAAACCATCCCAAAGCACAGTGCCTTTCAACAACCATTTAGTCTCATGCTCATGAGCATGCAGGTGACTGTGGTTTGGTTGGGCAGCTCTCCTTCAGGGTGCAGGTCAGAGGGCTTGGCTTCAGGCAGATTTCAGGTCTGTTTCACATGTCTCTCATCCTCCATGATACAGTACCCTGAGTATGATTCCCTGATATTATGGCAAGTGGCGAGAGTCCACAGGGCTGATGAAAATGCACAATGCCTCCTAAAGCCTAGCTCCGCACTTGCCCACCTTTAAAAAAGTCATAGTGGCATTGGCTGGTGTGGTTCAGTGGGCTGAGCACCAGCCTGCGAACCAAAAGCTTGGTGATTTGATTCCCAGCCAGGGCACATGCCTCGATTTTGGGCCAGGTTCCTGGTTGGGGGCGTGTGAGAGGAAACAGGTCTATATTTCTCTCACACATTGATGTTTCTCTCCCCCTCTTCCTCCTTCTTTCCCCACTCTCTAAAAAAAGAAATAGAATCTTTTTTTTAAAAAAGTCATAGTAGCTTAGTTGGTGGGGGTGTTGTCCTGCAAAGTGAAAGGTTGCCAGTTTGATTCCAGGTCAGGGCACCCTGGGCTGCGGGTTTGGTCCCTGGTCAGGGCGTGTATGGGAGGCATCTGATCAATGTTTCTCTCTTTCTCTTTCTCTCTCCTTTCCCCTCTCTCTAAAAATTCTTTTTTAAAAAAGTGTCATACAGACGGCTGAAGCCAACTCACTTCAGTAGGACAAAAATACAGCCTTCTCGTGCACTGCAAGGTCACGTGGCAGATGCAGTGAGCAATTGAAAACAATATCAATCTCCCACATCTAGCGAGCTCCTCACACTGTTTTCTGTCTCTCTATTTCCAGTCATTGGGTCACCTCAGCCTCAGATGCCCTCCTGGTCACCTGTTCCATGGTAAACTGCAAATATCATTGTGTTCAGATATATGGCCTTGGCTCCACTTCCAGATCTTTCCACTAGCTGTGTGATCTTGAAAAAGTCATGCTACATCTGAGTCTATGTCATCTGCTAAAAACTTACCTGGTATGATTGTCATAAAGATGAAATGGGATGCTGTGTAAGAGAAACCCTTGTCCTGAATAAAGCATGCTCTTTAAGAACCAGCCTAAGGCCTCCCTCATCGACATAGCTTTAAATGACTGTCATTTCTTCTCCAGACTTTATAGTTATCCAGTGGTTTCAAGATATAAGAGAAGTTCCTGGAAAGTTCTTTAGAAGTACTGCTCTGTCCTTCAGCCTTGTTGATTTTACTTCTTTCAGAGGGTCTTGTTTTCAATTTCTCCACGTGATTCTATTGCAGTAGAGTCTCTACCACATTACTTAGCACTTACTTGAATAGTCCACTATTTCATGTGTTAAAGACTTAGATGTGAGTCCTGGTTTTTATCATCTGCAACTTGAGAGTATACTTCCCCAAGCCTCATTTTCCTCATAGGTGAGGCAGGGATACTCTCATCTCTGTTACACAGTTTTGGTGACGTTTCAATGAGGTAATGCAGCCAGGGCTCCCAGATGCACGGCAGCCAGTTGCAGCAGGACTCTTTCATGGACCCTGTGAAATAATTCTACAGCACACAGCACAGTACGGAGTCCCAAGCAGGTGTTTTACTGCATAAATACACTATGATTTGTGGATGGAAGTGGCTGTAGCGAGAGCACTGGCTGCTTCCCATAGATCATGTGCTGCAATCTCCCCACAGGTGTGATCAAAATGCACACATACCCTGTTTTCCACATTAACGTGGGCTTACTGGTACATGAGTGTCGGGTTTTCAGTATGAAGTCAGTCGTAATGCAGGATGTTGAACTCAGTGACAGATAGTGACTTCAGAAGGAGGAATGGAGGCTTTCTCTCTCCAGCCAGTCCACCACGGCATGGAGGGTAATGTAAGGCCCGTATCTACTTCGCCTCGGTTCCCACATTCTGTTTTAAACTTAGTAACACAGGAATCAACAGTTTTATGTATGAGGTTTATCTTTTCTGTTGACAAACACTAAACTGAGTTACTACAGATGAAGAATATTTCATGGACATGGCAAGAGTAATTAGAATGTTTGTTTACTCATTCACAAACCTCGTGACATGAAAAGAAAATCTTAATTGAAATCTGGCTTGATAGAAATACAGTGCACAACGTTAATACCATGTTCATGGAGGGCAGAAATGCTTGGTCACCCTGTGTGCCTAACGTCACCAGGGCTCTTGAGAAAAGATCCCATTTACCCAAGTGCCTTGAATGTCTTCAGGACCATCAGCGAACGCTGCACAGGGACAGAAAGGGCTGGACAGAACCGCACATTTATAAACACAAATAATGAGCTATAGCACTTTACAGCAATTACAGAGGCGCTTTGATACCTCCCCAGAGTTGGTCAAGTGTGAGCTGTGCTGCCAGAATGCCCGCGCTGAGACAGGCTGCACTGAGACAGGCTGCGGCTGCTCTGTCCCCATGCCCACCTGCTCTGGGGAGGGGAGGCTGAGCGGGGTGATGGGAACCCTCAGGCTGAAAGGGAGTTTCCTTTGTGCCCTTCCTCTCTCCGCCCACCATGTGACATTCTCGAGTATAAGGCACGAGAACCTGGTGTGGAGAAAAGACATGCTCCAAGCTCCAGTTCTTGGTGTGCAAAGGAATTCCTGGCTTAGATCTTTTGAAACAGATGCTAAAAATATCCTTCCCAACCTCTTGTATTTACTGTCCTGGAGGACAGAAAAAGGAGAAGGCAGAAGGTTTGCAAGAGACAAAAATAGCTGCATCTAAATATCATGAGAAAAATGGCCCATGAGAAATATATAATTCTCCAAGGGATGCTTTGCTCTGAGAAGTCTAGAATCTCACAAGGAATAACAGACATTTTATGGAAAAGAGAAGCCAAAAACGTAACACACTCAGTGCTCTTAAAACAGTGCAATGGTGGTTATGAGAGCCTACGAGGTCTAAGTCAACATTGACAATGAAAGAAGTTTTAAGACTTAGCATTTTAAAGCAGAGGCCAGAAATGGTGATAGGAAAGGAAGCAGACAGAAATCTATACAGCTTTTTCAAACTTACTGCATGTAAACAGAATGTAATCAACACATTAAATGTCACTTCATTTCATCCACTGTTTCCTGCAGACAACTAGGTTTCTCCCAAATTCCTGTGCACAGAAATGGCATGGGGCAGATAACGGACACATCAAGAAAACCTGTGAAGGTTTTCACCAGAAAGAGGGCATTGGGAAAGAATATACCTCAGACTCATTAGTCTATTCCCTCTTCTTTTGGGGGGCAGAGAGGTGACCTCAAGCGTTAAGCCCTTATCTAAAATATTAAAGTATTAATCTAAAACAGAAGGCCAGAATGCCTTGAACTTTTCATGAAGCAGAGCTACCAAGAGGCGGAATTTCTGCTCTCAGGCAGCCAGGCCTCCTGTGGGCTGTCTTGTGTGAGTTAATTGGCTAGTGTGTGGTGTATAAAGTATGCACATTATGGCCTGGCATGGTGACACAGGGTCCCCGGAACTTTATTGACACTCCATGAAGGCAGAAGCCCTATGTTTCTCAGCACTGCTGAATCCCATCGCCCAGCAGAGCACCTGGCCACAAGAGGCCATGGATGAAACAAGACTGGCTTGTGTGGTGAGATGGGCTTGAATCCAAAGAATGAGATCTTGAGTGTGGCCAACACTCAGGGTTGGCTATACCATTAAATTGCTATCTATTAACAAAAATTTTTACTGGACGATGTGCCAAACTGTTCTAAGTGCCACGAATACAGCCATGCAGTGTATTAAGGTTCTGTTGTGAGAGGGCAGGGCTTGTAACTGGCTGCAAAGTCAGTCAACAAACCCATACTCTTTTACACAGTGATGAGCAAAGAAAACAGCGCGGTGTGATAGTAAGGGAGGGGTGGATGGGGGGGCTTCTAAAATGATGGAGTGATGGGATTCCTCTTTCCCCGACTAGAAAGGTGCACAATAAGATCCTGCCTCCAAGGTGGACGGGCAGCAGACTGGATTTCCAATGTGCTCAGCTGGAGTCTCGCCCAGGAAGATCCGAACTACTCCAAGCAACAAAGCGACTTTCAGTCCAAAAGGCCTTTTAACGCCCTGGACTAGAGTGGCTTTGGGCTGAGATCCCTCGTGGGGCCAGACCGGGAAGTGCGCCTCGAAGGTTAAGAGAACTCCCGCGTACCCCACACTCCAGCGGGGCTGCTGCCCACCTCGGACATCCTTTTTGCACTCCCAGAAATTAACAAGTTACGAGGCTCAAGTTCTAAACAGGCCTCCGAGAGGAGGTGCCTCCAAATAGCCTGTTCTTCGGCAGAGACAAAGAACAGATCTACCGAGACCCCAACAAGCCCCACGTGCAGGGGCGGGGCTGCGGCAGTGACGCCACAGCGCGCGTGCGCGAGTGAGATCACGCGCCGACGTACCCTTGCTCCCGGGGACCGTAAAGCGCGGAAGGTCGCGGTCCCCGCTTCCCCGGAACTCTTTATTCCTGCCGCCCCATCCCTCCCAATTTCTGTCCCCTGCCCCTTTCTGGTCCCCGGACCCCTGGTGACTGTTGTGGCTGCGGCTGGTCTTTCGCCGGGCATTGCGGAGCGTGGAACCCGTGGGCGCCCATGAGGTAAGGAGTCCGCTGTGGGGCCGCTGTGACGCCCCCGTCAGCGCGGGCCGTAGCGCCCCGGGACCCCAGCGTTCCCTCCTTCCGCTTTGGACTGGCTCAGGGGTGGTCCCCGCCGTCCCTCGTTTCCTGTGGGTTCTGACTGTTGTCCCGAGAAGGGGCGTCCTGGCCCCAGGACTCCGCCGGCCCGGGAGTGGGTCCGCCTGATCTCCCTCAGCCTCTCGGCGGCCGTGCTCCGTGGGGCGGAGATTGTCCCGACCTCGGGGACCCGTGCCCGGCCGCCGCGCACCGGCTCTTCAGGCGTTCGGGGTGACCTCGCTTCTGGCTCCCCGCCTCGGGCTTGCTCACCCTCACAGCGCAGATGAGGCTGGTCTGGCTCGGTCTTCCTCGTCTGCAAGTGGAATTTGTTTCCTGCGTTAAACGTGCAGTGCACCTGTGCTTCGCTACCTAGTGAGAGAGATGCGGAGTCCGGCAGCGACTTGCCTGGAAAAACCTAGGCTGGGGCAGTGTCTTAGTGGATGGCCCCTTGGGTCCGACTGGATGACCCTCGGCTTTGATTCGGGAACCTTGAAGTGCATTTTGCCTAAGCGTGCGAGCGAGACACTGGAGGAGGACGCGGGGTGTGGCTGGGCGGTGGGTGCGGCGGGCTCAGGGACACACTTTTCCGGTGCTTATGATTTATTGACCAACGGAGATGCGGGCGGGAGGAGATGGTGTCAGGGATCGGTGGGGGGAACGCGCCGGGCCCGGGAGCACACCTTTCCGGGGCTAGGGATTTCCATTAATTTCTTTAACTTGCCTGGTCACCTGGTCCACTTGTTGGAAAATACAGCACCATGGACCAGCAGTTACCAGAGTCTGCAGAGAGGGAGCCTGGGAGTCTGTGTTTTCGGGAGGTGTTCCCGTGCGTCTTTGGCCGAGGCAGGTGTGGGAAGTGTTCTCTTAATCCGCGCGTAGTCGCCGGGTCTTCGCTGCGGCCCGCAGCGCGGGCGTGCACGGCGCGGCATCGCGCGGGGGAGCAACTGAGAGGGAGCTGGAGCTGCCCTCCTGCTCTTGTTGGGGTGAGCAGATCTGAGCTTCAGCAGCCCCCGTATTGAGGTGGTTTAGCAGAAATGATTCTTAAAAGAGGATATTATTAAATCATTTTATTTTTTAAAACTACAATTTATTTTGAATCAAGTTATATGTTTTATTTCTTTGTCTTTGACATATTCAGTTTCTTTTCTACTGTTGTTGCCGCTTTTGCCATCAAACTTTGCCTTGCTTTTGCCATTGGGTTCGCCAAAAAGTTTGTTTAGATTTTTTCCCTAGAATGTGAAATTGTCTTCAACTTGGTTCACAACAATTTTGTTACATTGTATTGTGACAGCTGTCGTATAAGCATGCATTTAAAAAAAAACTTTTCAAAAATGGTGAATTTTTGTGCAGCCATTTCAATATTGAAGATGGTAGAAAATACACATTTTTGGTGTATTGTGCTTTATTATCAAGAATGGTAAAGATGTAATTGAAACGTAAAAAAAGAAAAATTTATGCTGTGCATGGAGAAGATTCTGGGACTGATCGAATGTGTCAAAAGTGGTGTGTGAAGTTCCTTGGTACTATTGACATTTTAGCCAACTAATTCTTTGCTGTGGGGCTGTCTAATGCATTGGAAGATGTTTAGCAGCACCCCTGGCCTCTGTCCACGAGAAGCCAATAGTGGGGCATAGCCGACATACTCAAAATATCCAGATCAATAAAGTAAATGGTGAAATGATAATGTGTCTTTTATGGAAAAAAATCATATGGACTTTTTGGCCAACCCAATACCAAGCCTATTAGAATGGTTCCTTCCTTTCATTGTTGCCTGCCCTATGAATCAGTCAGTCATATTCTCTTTCTCCCTTCCACCTCCCCTCCCTCTCTTCCAGCTTCTCTTCTCTTCTTTTTCTTGCCTTCACACTTCACTGACTCTAATGAAGGTTGTGGTGAACACAAGTCAAAAATCCTTTTATCGGTTTTTAACACCTTGAGCATTTAGCATTATTTATTTCATTTTGAAATTTATCTGTTGTTATGTCTCTTCTACCACTTTTGCAATTCTCTTTTCTCTGCTAGGGCATGTGCCTTGTGATTCTGTCCTCCCAGCTACCCTTTCTTTACTCATGCAGTTTTATTTTATTTCTTTTTTAAAATTAAAAACATTTTAAATTAAAGTTAGTATGCAATATTAGGTTCAGGTGTACAACATAGTGATTAGTCATTTATATAACTTAAGAAGTGATCACCCCTATAAGTCTAGTACCTGTGTGACACCATGCATAGGTATTACAATATTATTGACTATATTCCTTAAGTTGCACTTTACATCCTTGTGACTGTCTTGTAGCTGGAAATATGTCCTTCTTAAACCCTTCCCCTTGTTTCCCGTCCCCCAGATGCCCCTCTCATCAGATAACCATCAGTTTGTTCTCTGTATATATGAACTTGTTTCTATTTGTTTGTTTCTTAGATTCCACATATAAGTGAAATCACTGGTATTTGTCTTTCTCTGACTTACTTTGCTTAGCCTAACACCCTTTAGGTCTATCCACGTTGTTGCAAATGGCAAGATTTCATTCATTTTTATGGCTGAGTAACATTCTATTGTATATGTGTATGTATATGTGTACCACAGCTTTTTATCCATTCCTCTATCAATGGGCACTTGGGTGGCTTCCATATCTTGGCTATTGTAAATAATGCTGCAGTGAACATAGGGGTTCATACATCTTTTTGAATTAGTATTTCGGATTTCTTTGTATAAATATCCTGAAGTGGAATTGTTGGGTCAGTATGGTGGTTCTATTTTTAATTTTTGAGAAACCTCCCTACTGTTTTCCATAGTGACTGCACCAGTTTACAATCCCACCAACAGTGCACGAAGGTTCCATTTTCTCCTCATTTTTGCCAACGCTTGTTGTTTGTTGATTTATTGATGATAACCATTCTGATGGGTGTGAAGTGATGTCTCATTGTGGTTTTAATTTGCATTTCCCTAATGATTAGTAATGTTGAGCATCTTTTCATATGTCTATTGGCTATCTGTATGTCCTCTTTGGAGAAGTGGACCCACTTCATCCAAAGATGCTCATTGAGGTCCTGTGCCCATTTTTAAATCAGATTGGTGGTTTTTCTTTTTGGTGTTAAGCTGTATAAGTTCCTTAAATATTTTGAATATTACCCCCTTATCAGATGTATCATTGGTGAATGTCTTCTCCCAATCAGTAGGGTGTCTTTTTGTTTTGTTGATGTTTCCCTTCACTGTGCAAAAACATTTTAGTTTGAAGTAGTCCCATTTGCTTATTTTTTGTTTTATTTCCCTTGCTTGAGGAGACATATTAAAAAAATACTAAGAATGATGTCAAAGAGTTTATGTCTTATTTTTCTTCCCAGAGTTTTATGGTTTTGGGCCTTACATTGAAGTGTTTAATCTGTTTTGAGTTGATTCTTACAGATGGTGTAAGAAAGTGATTCACTTTCATTATTTTGCATGAATCTATTCAGTTTTCTAAACACTATTTATAGAAGAGACTATTTATTCCATTGTATGTTTTTGACTCCTTTGACATGGATTAATTGACCATATAGGTGTGGCTTTATTTCTGGGCTCTCTATTCTGTTCCATTGATCTATAGGTATGTATATTTAATACTATTACTATGGTATTTTGATTACTACAGTCTTATAGTATAGTTTGATTTCAGGTAGCGTGATACCTCCAGCTTTGTTGTTCTGCAAGATTGCTTTGGCTATTTATTGTCTTTTGTGGTTCCATATAAATTTTAGGATTTTTTTGTGGTTCTCGGCAGAATGCCATTGTTATTTGGATAGGAATTGCATTGAATCTGTTGATTGTTTTGGGTAGCAGGGACATTTTAACAATGTTAATTCTTCCTATCCACAAGCATGGTAAACCCTCCTATTGTATCTTTTTTAGTTTTTTTCATCGTCTTACAGTTTTCAGAGTACAGGTCTTTTTTCTCCTTGATTAAAAAATTCCTAGGTATTCTTCCTGATGCAATTGTAAATGGGATTGTTTTCTTAATGTCTTTTTCTGATAGTTCATTACTGGTGTATAAAAATGCAAGCAATTTCTGAGTATTAATTTTGTATTCTGCTTTACTGAATTTATTTACTAGTTCTAATAATTTTTTGAGGGATTCTTTATATTCCTATATGTTATATCATGCTATCTACAAATAATGACAGTTTGACTTCTTTCCAGTTCAGATGCCTTGTTTCTTTTTCTTGTCTGATTGCTGTGGCTAGGACTTTCAAAACTATGTTGAATAAAAATGATCAAAGTGGCCCTGACTGGTGTGGCTCGGTTGGGCACTGTTCTGCAGTGTGAAAGGTCACAGGTTCGATTCCTGGTTGGGGCACATACCTGGGTTGTAGGCCAGTCCCCAGTCAGGGTGTATACAAAAGGCAGCTAACTGATGTTTCTCTCTCACATCGATGTTTCTCTCCTTCTCTTTCTCCCTCCCTTCACCTTTCTCTAAGAATAAATAAGTTAATTAAATCTTTTTTAAAAAGTGGTCAAAGTGGACAACCTTACTTTATTCCTGATCTTAAAGAAAAAGCTTTCAGCTTTTCAGCCTTGACTGCAATGTTGGTTTGTCATATTTGGCCTTTATTATGTTGAAGCATGTTTCCTCTATTCCTACTTTGCCAAGAGTCCCCCCCTCCATAAATAGATGCTGGATTGTGTCAAATGCTTTTTCTGCATTTATTGATGTGATCATATAATTTTTATCACTCATTTTGTATATGTGGTATGTCACATTAATTGATTTGCAGATGTCAAACCAGCCTTGCATCTTGGGAATAAATCCTACTTCATCACGGTGTATAATCTTTGCAGTGTATTCCTGAATTCAGCTTGCTGATATTTTGTTGAGGAAATGAATGGGTTAATAACTAGTAACATGTTATTTAGCTTCCATGTGTTTGTATGTTTTTTCAGTTTTCTTCTTGTCACCGATTTTTAGTTTCATACCATTGTGGTGAGAAAAGATGGTTGATATGATTTAAATCATCTTTAATTTAGTGGGGCTTGTTTTGTGGGCTAACATGTGATCTATCTTGGAAAACATTTCGTGTGCACTTGAAAAGAATGTTTATTTTGGGTGAAATGTCCTAAAAATATCAATTATGTCCTTCTGATCTAAAATATCATTTAAGGCCACTGTTTTATTGTTAATTTTCTGCCTGGGTGACCTATCCATTGATGTCAGTGGGGTGTTACAATCTCCTATTATAACTGAATTACTGTCACTCTTTCCATTTATATCCGTCAATATTTGCTTTATATATTTAGGCGCTCCTACATTGAGTATGTAGATGTTTATGAGTTATAATCTCTTATTAGAGTTATCCCTTTATCATTATGAAATGCCCTTCTCTGTCCGTTGTTACATCCCTTGCTTGAAAGTATGTTGTCCACTATAAGTATTGCCAACTCAGCTTTTTTTCATTTTCCAATTGCATGAAATACCTTTTTCCAACCCTTTCAGTCAGTGTGTTTTGATCTGAAGTGGGTCTCTTCTAGACAGCATATATACAAGTCTTGTTTTTTTAAGATTATTTCTTTATCTTTAATCTTTGGCATTTTAATTACAGTATGGCTTGGTTTGGAACTCTTTGGGTTCATCTTTTTTGGAACCCTTTGCACTTGCTGGACTCGTATGTCTATTTCCTTCACCAGGGTAGGGAAAGTTTTGTCATTATTTTTTCAAATAGGTTTTCAATTATTTGCTTTCCTCTCTCCTCCTTCCAGCACCCCCATGATGGGAATGTTGGTATGCTTGAAGTTGTCCCAGATTACAGGTTACAGGAAGATTAGCTATGTGGGGAAGCTTCTATCTTGAGACTGCTTCATAGGGACTAAGGATGGGAGTCATGGTGGCAGTCACAAGTTGGCCAAAATAATTAGTCCTCAGTTGGATGAGATTTCTCTTGGGACACTATCTGTGCCTGCATTGGTCTCAGATCTGAGCGTCCTTTCTGCTGGATGGGCGCCAGCACCTTGGCCTTTGACAATTTAGGCTGATGGGGAACCGACTGGGGGCTGAGGCTGGTGTAGAACATGGTGGTGGTGACTTTACTAGCCATGTGCTGCCCTGATGCCCACTTGTCTGCCCCCTGTGTTGTATTAAATTCTCATTTTACACCTCAGTGACCGCATAGTTCACAAGCAGGTCTTACTTCAGTCGCATTTTGCTGTTAGGTTAGTTTTGTTCAAACCCTGCCTTTGTCCCATTCAGCCTGTAGTAATTCATTACAGTAGAGTGGCTCAAGTCAGACCAAGTATCCAGAGTCTTCTGTGGTCTGGCTCCACCTGCCTCAGTTCCTGCTACCAGCATTCAGAGAGAGTGAGGCCTCCAAGTCCAGCCCCTTACTGTCATCCACAAACACACATGGCTGGACTTGTCTGTAACTTCATTGTGCGCATTTCCCGTCTCTCTTTGTCCAAATTTTACCCCTTCAAGGCTCAGTTTAAGTCCTGTTGCCTAAGTAATACCTTCCGATGGCCACGGCCTATACTTTTCTTTAACTTATATTTATTGTCCTGTAGAAACGTGCGCTTGGTTACACCCTGTGACTCTTGTGTGCAAGTGATCCGCCTGACTAATCACTGTCTGCTTTTCTAGAAGAAACATATGGCACCTTAAGTCTCCACCACATCACCTGTGGAAACACGAGGCCATCCTTTACTTAGGCCTGTAACCCTGTCTCTCTTTCCTTCCCTAGGATCCCCCGTCTCTGTTGTTGCCTCTCCTTTCTTGCCCATCTCTTTCCCTTTACTGGGTCATCCCATAGCAGTGATGTATTCTTAACAGCTCCTGTCTTTAAAAGCAACCAGCTAACTTTGCTCTACCCTGCATTCTTCCCCCACTTCTGTCCCACTTTTCTGCTCCCTGTCAGAGCAAACTGTAATGGAGCTGTCTGCACACCTGTATCTTACTTATCTTCAATTTGCTCTCGCCTGTGTTTCCCTGAAAATGTTCTGGAGGACACCAGGACCTCTGTGCCAGCAAATCCTGGTGGTCACTTGGCCGCCCCGCTCCACCCCTCGCGCCCTCTGCAGTCAGCTTCTTCTTGGAACACCTTCCTCTCTCGGCTTCTGTGACCCCTCTGCCTGGCGCTCTGTCTGTCATACTGACTGCTCTTTCTTCTCTTCAGCCACTCGTCTTTATCTGTACAGTCTGATTTGGCCACAGCATCCAGTCCTGTCTCTAGTCTTTTCTTCCCTTCCCAATCTGTAAATGCTGGGGAGCCTCAAAGTTGTTCTTCCTCGAAATGTTAGGGCTTTAAATGTTGTTTGTGTGCTAATGACTCCCAAGCCTCCTTCCCAGTGTCAGACTTGTGTGTCCAGCTGCTGCCTAGTGCTTCCATGTGGATGCCAAGTGGGTGTATTGTACTTAACATCTGAAAGTTGAACATTCAGAGAGCCTACATGCGTGACCCATGGGCATGAACGACGGTGAGGGGAATTGTTTGAGGGAGTTGGGGGTGCTGGCTTGGGGGGCAGGGGGGATTCAGGACAACTGTAACAGTATATCAACAAAATATAATTAAAAAAATAAAAGTTGAACATTCAGATGAATACACACACACTCCCCTTTGGCTTCCCAGCCTTATTCCCTATTCCTTCCTTCTCCTTCACGCTATGGTAAGTGGCCCCAGATGCTTAACCCAGAAACATAGGCATCATCCTTATTCCGACTTTCTTTGTATTTTAACATAATTTGTTGGCAAGTAAGTGCTGTCATTTCTGCTTCCAAGACAATCCAGTCATGTCTCTGACTCCCTTGCCACCATCCTTGTCCAAGCTACCAGGATGTCCCCCTGGACTACTGCTGCAGCCGCCTAACCCAGCTCTGCCTGTCCTCTCATTCTGCAGTTCAGCCTCCACCGTGGAGCCAGGCTGACCTCGGAAAATAGATCTGATCATCTCATTCCCTTCTTAGTATTTTCTTTGGCACTGAGAATAAAATCCCTGCTTTCAAGGACAGTGTGTAATGGCTTTCTGTCTGTGTCTCCAGCTTTATCTTAGATCATTTCCCCCTCAGTCCTCATGCTGGGGACACGCTGGCCTCCTTGCTGCTCTTGGGTTTATCAAGGTCTGTCCCACTTGTGGGCCTTCGACACACTCAGTCCTCTGACTGGAACACTCAGCTAGTTGGTTCCATTTCATCCATCACATCTTTTCAAATGTCATCTTTCCTGAATGTGGTATTAATAATGCTCCTAGATACTCCTCGTGACTTCTTGATTTGTGTATTGCTGCCCCCCCCGCCCTCTCTCAGATGTAAGTTACTGAAGGCAGGGACCTCTTCATTATTGCTTGCTGTTGTATCGAACCTAGCACAATATCTGAGACTCAGTTAATCCTCACATATTTGCTGAAGGAATGATGATTGTTTTTTGTTGTATTTTTTTCTCATGAATCCAATGCACTCAATACAGTGGAATGAAATATGTTTGTTTTTTTCTGTCTAGTTCGAATGCTTGGAATCTTCTGAGCTAAGTGAGAGCACATCTCCCATTGCTGACAGACGTGATGTTTTACCGGTTGCTGTCAGTGGTCCAAAGACACAGAACAAGCCGAGGATGGCAGAGCTGGTCCCCAGCCAGAAGCAGTGCATCAGCGGCCACGACGCAGTCCGTCGCCCTGCCTGCCCAGACGCAGGTGGTCATCTGTGGTGGGGGAATCATGGGCACATCTGTGGCCTATCACCTGTCCAAGATGGGGTGGAAGGACATTGTCCTTTTGGAGCAGGGCAGGTAAGGATTCAGCTAGACATGGATTCCTTCCTTCCCTCTCCTTTTGGTGATATTGTCCCACCAGTAGCTAATCAGTGTGGCTCTATAGCATGAGAAGAATCACAGGGGGAAATACTGTACTTTGGGGGTTTTTTTTGGCGATGTTTAAAACTCACGTTTTATGGTTTCAGAGAGCTGGCAGGTTCCGACAAACCAAGTCTCTGAAACGTATTTATTTTAGGTTCACAGCACATCTTGTTTCCCTTTCAGGCAGCAACATAAATCCCGTGGGCCAAGACCTTCCTCTAGGAGTCAAAGTGAAATTGCCTGCATTCTGCTCTATTTCAGCGTTGTTGTTTTTTTTATTTAAGTAATTTATTTTGAAACAGTTTGAGATTTACAGAACAATTGAGAAGATATGAGGGAGTTCCTATAAGACTCACCCCCAGTTTCACTTGTTACTAACATCTTATGTTAGTGTTTTTGTCTAACAACATCAACACATTATTATTAACTATAGTTCATTTGAATTTTTCATTTTTTCCCCTAGTGTTCTTTATCTATTTAAGGCTTTTGGGTTCTATTGCCTACCACAAACTGGGCATTTTTTTTATTTAAAATTTATTTTTAAATATTTTTTTAAAAAAGATTTTATTTATTTTTAGAGAGAGGGGAAGGGAGAGAGAGGGGGAGAGAAATATCAAGGTGCGGTTGGCTCTCACACTCCCCCTACTGGGGACTGGGCCCATAACCCAGGCATGTGCCCTGCCTGGGAATCAAACCAGAGACTCTTTGGTTCACAGGTCAGCACTCAATCCACTGAGCCACACCAGCTGGAGCAAAATTTATTTCTCAAAAGGCAATTATTCGCATGAGTCCAGAGAGAAAATTGTAGACGAGTGTGTAGGGAAAGTCTCTCTTCTGCCCCTGACCTCTAGCCTCAAGTTTTCCTCACTGGAGGCAAGTTAAGTTACTGGTGTCTTGATCCAGATACTCTCTCCATTTATGAGCACATATGTATTAAGTATGTATTCATGTACATGGGTGTTCATTTATTTTTTCCCTATTGTATGCAAGTGGTAGCATTCTTTAAGCACTGTTCCTTATCTTGCTTTTCTCAAGGTTCCACATTGTTGCATAAAAGCTTTCTCGTTCGTTTTTTTATGGCTGTAGAGCATCCCATTGTGTAGGTGAATTCTAATTTTGAAATCAGTGTTGTGTTGATGGACATGTAGGTTGTTTCCATCTTTCGATATGACAAAACAATGCTGTAGTATGGAACTTGAACTTGCTGCATTCACAGATATGTGAGTCCAGCCAGTATCTTTTTGGATCTGTCCTGCAGGCTGGCTGCTGGTTCTACGAGGTTCTGTGCTGGTATCGTGAGTACTGCCAGGCACTTGAGCATCGAGCAGAAGATGGCAGACTATTCAAACAAACTCTACCATCAGTTAGAGCAAGAAACAGGGATCCAAACAGGTAAGCAGGCGGTCTGCCATTTCCCGGTCTCCCTGCCCCCAGACTTTCTTCCTGGGCACTGTGTCTGGTCCCACATGAGTTGGCCTGGGGATTGGTAATGCACACCCAACTTGTAGTCCCAGCTCTGCCACCCGTCGGAGTATTTATTACCTTGGGCAAGTCTGTTCACTTTTGAGCTGTCTTTGGTTCCCTGTTTTTAAAATGAGGGGATTCAACCAGAATTCCAGATCCTTTTCAGGTGATATAACTTATTATGACATGAAAGTTCTTCTGAGCCATTTCCTATATATTTCACTCAAGAAAGTACAGCAAGTAGCAACACTGGCTCTGACAGGAGGAGGAGGAGGAGGAGCTTAAGCTTAGGTGCTTGATAGTTCAGTCATAGTTCAACCCATTGAACTTCACCAAATTGCTAGTAAGGCTATTCCTGACCCTAAAGCATTCACATATTTCTCCTTAGCTGTGTATTTAGGGGTGGATGGGCACAGGGAGTTGGGTGCAAACTAGCACTGAAATAAGGAAGGAACTGTTCCAAGAAGGGGAACTGTTCTGGCTATGGTCCCGTACGATGGAAGGTAGAAAGGCTGTTGGAAGATGGTCAAAGCCTAGCAGTTTACTGTAAGGTGACAGATTAGCCAGAAGCCCAGAGTTGAGCTTGCTGTCATGGCTGAGGAAGCCGTTTGGTGAGCGTACTGATTATCATGAGAGGGTAGGTAGCAAAGCCCAGTGATAAAATTCCGGACACATGTATGTCAGGGTGGTTCTCTTGAAGACCTTGTGTAACTCATGTCACAGATAACCTAAGACTAATCCTGACACAGGGTAGTAGCTTTTCTTTCTTGTACCAACTAGAGCAGCTCTGCTGTGTGATCAGAGTGTAGGCTCAGTGTATGGTTTACCTCGCTGGCCCATTTAGAAATTGTATGACATATGATGATATTTTCATTAAGGAAAGATATTTGAATTATTTGAAATTTTGAGTTTATAACATTCCCATTTGATATAGTTTATATTTTCATGAACTGTAACTGTATTTGCAAACTATAGAGTAAGACAGACTGGTAACTAGGATTTCATAGCCACGGAGTTGGAGCGAGGAGCTGCCAGGAGAGGAATGAGAGGCCTGGAAGGAAGAGGTTGTTAGTTCTCGGGCATGTTGCAGGGCCAGGACTGGGGTGAGGAGAGTGTGTATGCTAGGGTGGCCCTGCACTGTCACAGAGCTGGGTGCGTGCCTCCCTACACAGTGTACCCTGCGTGCCTGGGCTCCCCACGCTGTCATTGGACTTGGCCAAGGCCCCTGCTGAGAGGCAGGCCTCTCAAGAGAACACAGTGAAAGTATTTCCTGCTGCTGCGCTGCCTCTGGCTTTTTGCTAGGAAGGTGCCTACTACGGGCAGGACAGGCAGGAAGCAGTCCCTTTGGTTGGATTCAGTGATGGCAACCAGGTACTTGAATCAGGTGCCGACCAGGGTGTGAGTCAGAAGAGGGTCCACATAATGGGCCCAGAGATGGAACAGCTGACCCCGGGCCATTGGGTCTGACACTAGTGTGTTGCCGAGCCTTGCACCCCTTAGGGGGTTGGATTCAGAGGAATCAGGGTGATAGGCTCCTTTTCTACAAGGTGAGGTAGCTTAGCATTCTTTCTAGATCACCATCTGGAACCTTTATTGGCCCTGACTTCTCCTGATGCCTGGGCGGCGGTGAGGAAGGCAGGAAGGCGAGAGTAAGGGGGTCGCCCTCAGTCGCTCACCCCCGCTGTAGTTCCCCAGCGGTGCGGCGGAGGCTCCGTGGAGAGGCCTCCCATCTGGCATGTGTGCAGGTGTGCCCTGCTGTGGCTGCTTCCTTCAGCGGGCTGCTGTTGAGCCATTACTAAAGATGAAGTGACACGTGTGCAACCTGCTCATCCTCTGATAGTTCGCTTACTTGAGGTGCGTGTTTGCTGTTGTTAGTCAGGTTACCCAAGGACCCCGAGGCCTTGTTCCCCGACTGTGAATGGAGTGTCCGCGGTGCAGCGGTGTGAATATGATACAGCCTGTATCAAGGTGAATGAGTGCGGTCATCTAAAAGTTTTTATAATCTTTTGAAAATATTTCATATATTACTTCATCTCATAATGAGGGTCAGTCTCTTTTAATGTGAAATTCAGGGTGTGATTAGCCCACAGATCATTGGACTAGTCTGGTAAATCTATTTTTAAGCACCAGTCTCTGAAATTTTAGTCCTCTATACAGACATCGTCATGCCAGTGAAGGGTATATATATCTGAGGATTTCAACAGAACTTAAGAAAATAAATTGTTCTCATTGTACTTCCTTCAAAGAGAAAACTGATTGATTCAACTTTTCCTTCATAAGAAGTGAGTCATTGCACTTTAGGAGAATTGTCATTGACCCAAGCATAACACCGGTTGTGTCAGGTATGTTGATTACAAACAACAGAAAATGACTCTGGCCACCTTGGGCAGAAGGAGTTTGTTGGAAGGCTGTTGGGTGCCTTAAATTTGGCAGGAGGTGGCTGGCGGGAGGCCCCGCAGAGGCCAGGACATGGGTGCCCACAGCAGGCAGTGCCTCCGGTAGAGCAGGGGCCGTCTGGCCTGGGTGCTCTGCACCTGAAGTGCATGACTTCCAGCCATTCACCTACTTGCTCAGGACTGAGTATCCCAGGGATCTGATTGGCTGAGCTCAGGTCACATGCCCACTGGCTATACTGCGGTCCACGCCCCTGAGGGCCAGTGTCATACATTTTCTTCACCAAAGGTTATACTCTCACCAAAACTCGGGGGAGAGAATCCAAAAAAAAAAGTGAAGAATGTTAATGGAATCTGGGTTACCTTCCTCTCCAAGAGTTTTTTAAGCAATGGCATCTTTTATTTTTATTTTTAAGAATGATTTTATGTGCATTAAAGTCTCATTTGATCGTCACACAACTCTGAGCTGACCGTGCCGGGGTGGCGGCATCCCAGGGCTCGCCCCAGGCCTTCTCCCTTACACTCTCTCGCGGCCTTGTCCTCTGCCGCCCTGCGTTTGTCCTGGCCTGGCTCAGTCTGGGCCAACTTTTCTTACAGGTTACATAAGGACAGGCTCCGTCTTTCTGGCCCAGACTCAGGACCGGCTGGTCTCCCTGAAGCGTATCAACTCAAGGCTGAAGTATGTATGCGGCTAGAAGCCTGTCCCGGCTTTACTGTCACACTGACCTCTGCCAGAGGGCCAGTGAATGTCATTGTCCCCTTGTGTTCTGTGGCAGCGTTATAGGCATCCCTTCCGAGATCATCTCCCTCAAGAAAGTGGCTGAACTGCATCCTCTCCTCAATGTGCACGACCTGGTGGGGGCCATGCACGTCCCCGAGGATGCAGTTGTGTCCTCTGCCGATGTGGCTCTCGCCCTGGCAAGTGCTGCCTCCCAAAATGGTAAGCGAATTTGGGATCAGGAAGGAAGAGGCTGTCTACGGGAGCATCTCACAACAGGCAGTGGCACTGGCTCGGCTACCATTTTATACTCTGGCTTTTTTTGTTTTAATATACTGTTAGTATTTTTTCTCAGGGGCACATTTTCTTACTAAAATTCTAAGGAACTGCTTTTAGTACTGAGTTAGTACACTTCAGACTTAGAGAACTCTTTTCAGCCACTGAACTTGAGAAGTTCCAAGATTGGAACACACCTTGGGGATATAATCCACAGCTTGGATCATGCCTCAGGTTTGGAATGAAGGAGAGGAAGACACATCAGTGTCTGTGGTGTTGTGTACTTTGAATGAATTCATGATGTGGACAGATTAGGGTTTAAGGTGCCCTATTTGAACTTTTCCCCCCACCCCTTTTATCATTCGTGAAATTTAATTGTGCGCGAAAGTCGGTCACTAAATTTGCCTGCCATTTTTAACCTTGGACAGCCTTATTTACAGTCTCTGGGTGTGGTTCCTAGGAGTTTTTTGTCTTTTTGAAATTAAAGCATTGACCGGCCTTTTCAGTACTGCCTGTGAGTTGAAAATCTGCTACAGATGCCTTGATTCTGGAACATCAGAGGACCGATGTCCCCACTCTTTCTTTACCTTCGAACAGGGGTTCAGATTTATGACCGGACAAGCGTTCTTCACGTGATGGTCAGAAAAGGTGAAGTTACCGGCGTGGAGACAGATAAAGGACAGATCGAATGCCAGTATTTTGTCAACTGTGCTGGTCAGGTAGGTCAGCAACAAGAGGGGTCTCTGGTTTTCTTATTCACCTTTTATCTGGGATTTTTTTTTTTGGCGTAGAGACTTCAGATTCTGTAGTGACACACTAAACAGATGTCGGGGACCACACTGTTTCCTGTGTGGGCCAGAAGACTCAGGGTTCTTGTCCTCCTCATCAGAAACCGGTACTGTCCCTCCGGCAGAGCTGAGTGACCTTCACCTTCCTCCTCCCTGGGGGAGCAGGGCTTCCCGCCAGGAGGGCCAGGAAGCACTTGGGCGTTGACATAAATTTTTGACATTGGTTTTTTTCTGTGGCGTTTTATTTTGTGCTGCAATGTAGCAAATAAAGTATTAGGCTGTTTATTGTATCAAGAGCATGGATTCAGTTTCCAGAACACTAAGCTGCTTCTACTTTTAAGACAAATTGGTCCTTTCCGTTCACTCTACAGTTCAAAGTGGTTCAGGAATACTTCCTCTGTGATTGGTACTTGGGGTTTTTAGTTGAGGCTAGGCATTTTGTTAAAGGGCCTCATTTGCTCCCCATGAGCTCCTTTTACTAGCTGGTAAGTCTGTCTGCCTTTGATCGAACAGTAAGTTTTATGGTTTAAAAAGTCTAGTGTTGCTCCCCATCCAAATAATTAAACTACAGCAGGCTGCATCTTGGTTTTCCACACCTGACATTGTAGCAAGAGCACACACAAGCCACTTGAAATTAACTCTTTTCAAATGGCTGAACTTGCTCATCTGTCTTTTTGTTCCTCTTCCACCCACAAATCAATCTGTCCATTTGTAGTGGGCATACGAGCTGGGTCTGGCCAACGAGGAGCCGATTAGTATCCCGTTACATGCCTGCGAACACTTCTACCTCCTGACTCGCCCCTTGGAGACCCCTCTGCACAGCAACACGCCAAGTGAGGACCTGCACTTTGTTTTTAATCTTGTTTCCTTGCCACTGTTCTGTCCTCTGAAAAAGAAGACTTTCTGCTAAGGACAGACTGTACCCGAAAGAGTCTTTTCTAGAGCATGTCACAGGGAGGTAGCCCAATTCTGACTTTTCTTTAAGAACTCTTTATGATAGGATGGCCAAAGTGGTCGTTCCACCTGAGCAATTTTTTGGGGTTTTTTTCCTGCAAGCTAATTGTAATCCCAGACAGAAGTCTAAATTGATAATATTTAGAATTAACCTGGAGTTTTGGACTTGAATGCTATACATTATAGTAATGTCGTAGGTGATCTGTAAACTCAGGATACCGGTGACCCCAAGTGCTGTAGGAGAGGGTTTGATTTCATTTTGAAGGTCTGAATCCTTGGAATGGGCTCGGCAACCCCCCCTTCTCAGGCTTTGTGTGGTGTGGTGGCAGCTATGTAGTCTGGTTGTGAGGGCTAGTCAAAGCTGTTAAGCAAGTGACCCGGTGAGGGGTACTCAGAGAAACAGTGTCTGCTGTAAATCTGAGAGGGAGAGGCCTCCCGGATGATCTGGAAAGGTATTTTAAAGCTGCTGTGTCCATGGGGTGCTGTTTGGTTAATCAAGCCAATAGCGGGTGTTTCTGCTTTGCTGTTGTCTGTCCATTTAGCAGGATGGCCTACCTTTAATCCCTGTTTTTCTCTTCTCCTCCCCACCCCCTTGTCATTTCTCTTCCTCAGCTATTGTGGATGCTGATGGCAGGATTTATATTCGGAACTGGCAGGGTGGCATCTTGTCTGGAGGCTTTGAGAAAACTCCGAAACCAATTTTCACTGAGGGCAAGAACCAGCTGGAGATTCAGAATCTACAGGAGGACTGGGATCACTTCGGTGTGTGAATTAGATAGTAATAATAATGCCCTGTGCTTGTTGAAGATACTACATTTTTCAAAACATTTCCAAGAATATCACTTTATTTGATCTTTGAAACAGCCCATTGTGGAGGTTACAGAGGGCAGGCTGCAGAGTTTGCCTGGGCTCAGGACAGTTACTGGGAAACAGATTCAGAAGACTAAATCTGGTTAATGGACTTTTGGCTTATTACTTATTCAACTAAAATCACTGCTGAAATTTTAGGCTAGGAGAAAATATTTTCTTAGGGTTTCATATAAGAAAAAGAAACTTTAGAAAATATTATTTTGTTAATATGGTCGTTTACTCAATTTTAAAACAACTTTTATTTATTGAATAGTTAATATAGTCACATGGTTCTAAATTTAAAAGCTATGAAAGGGTTTAAAATGAGGAGTTTCCTTCCCACCCTTAATAGATTTTTTTTAAAAAGATTTTATTTATTTCGTTTTAGAGAGAGGAGAAGGAAGGGAGAAAGAAAGGGAGAGAAACATCAGTGTGTGAGAGAGACATTGATCGGTTGCCTCTCGCACACGTCCAGCTCGGGACCCGGCCTGCAGCCGAGACATATGCCCTGACTGGGAGTCAAACTGGTGATCTTTCAGTTCACAGGCTGACGCTCAAGCCACTGAGCCACACCAGACAGGGCAGATTTTTAAAAATCTTTTTACTGTGGAAAATTTCAAGCTCTTAAAAGTGGAGAGCATAGCACAAGGAAACCCACGCGCCCATCAACCAGCTCTGGTCTGCCACTGTCCCGCTGGACCACTCCTCGGTGACAGACCGCAGACGGGCTGAGCGTCTGTCTCTGCAGCTCTTCCAGCTTAGGGAGCCCTGCCTGCCCTTTCGTCGCACCTCTCTCGGGTGCCGTGTGGGAGCTTCTGCACCAAGCCCTCGAGATCCTTACCTGCATGCACGTGTCTTACCGGCTCTCCCATAGCTCCTTCCTTTTCCAGAGCATCTTCTTTCTCAGTCTTGGTGCCAGGCGCTCCGTAGGTGTGTTCCATAATTCCATCCAGGCTTCTGCTTTCTGATAAGTGGCCCAGTTGGCTCTTCTTAGAAAACCTCTCCCAAGAGATTCTATGACAGCAGAGGGAGTTGGGAGTTTTGAATTCCCTGAAGCTGAGGACTCTGTTTGGCTTTGTCTGTACTGCTCAGAGCCCCTGCTGAGTTCTCTCCTGCGGAGGATGCCAGAGCTGGAGACTCTGGAGATCATGAAGTTGGTGAATTGCCCCGAGACCTTCACACCAGACATGAGGTGCATCATGGGCGAGTCTCCTTTGGTGCGGGGCTACTTTGTCCTGGCAGGAATGAACTCCGCTGGCCTTTCGTTTGGCGGGGGAGCTGGCAAGTAAGTCTGTCTCACACTGAGCTTGCTGGGCTTCTTCCTTTCTAGAATTACTTGTTAAAATGGCATGTAATGTATTTAACCCGGCATGTCAGTAATAAGAAGGTACATGTAATTTTAGTGTCTTCTTCAAAATAATTACCATGGAAGGGGTCTCCAGACATTCCTGAAATGTCGTCGTTCAAAATGCTTTTGGGACTCCTCTTTTGGAGTTAGCCCTGGAGACTGTGGGGCAGATGTTTTTATGTACTCTTCCAGTTGTAACAAATATAAGTCCTTTGAGTGTCTGCCTAAATTTGGAAATATCCATGTGGGGTGAGAATAGATGATCAGGCTGAGTATTATAAGTTTTTATTTAAAAATTACATACTAATAAAAATTAGATAAGCTGGTCATGAAAGGACAAATACCGTATGATTCTCTTACATGAGATAGTTAGAATAGTCTAATTCATAAAGGCTGGAAGGAAAAAAGTGGCTGCCAGGAGCTGGGGTAGTGAGGGAATGCGGTGTGATTGCTTAATGGATGAAGAGTTTCAGTTTGGGAAGACGAGAAGAGTTTTGCAGTTGGATAGAGGTGAAGGTTACACAACGGTGTGAATGTACTTAATGCCATTGAACTTCACACTTGAAAGTAGTTAATAGTCAATTTATGTTATGTGTATTTCCACAATTAAAACAGAATTTTGTTTTAAGTAATGAGAGCCTTTTTTCTGGAGTGAACTGTAGATGGCAGAAAACAGTTACAGAAATGGAGTTACCAAAACCCTTGATGCAGAGAAGTGGTCAGATAACTGTATGCCTTCCTGAGGGGACTGTTTCACAGAAAAAAAACATATTGGATGTATTAATGAGAATGTATTCATGTATATTTTAGTCTTATTTCTTCCTAGATGTGCCTGTTTCTTAAACATTTTCTAGGGAATCTTACCATCAGAGCTAAAATTCTTGTAGTGGTCTTGTCAGAGCAGTAAAGGGATCTGTGTTTGTTTCTTCCGGAGAAGTTAAGGAAGTCACCCAGAACTGCTGAACCAGTTCCTGACAAGATAGGATTTTTCATCCTGTTGGTTTTGATTCTTGGTTCATTGTTGAGAGTATCACATCTGAGGCCCCGCAACTGCCCCACCCACAAACAGGTACCTCGCTGAATGGATGGTGCATGGTTATCCCTCAGAAAACGTCTGGGAACTGGACCTGAAACGTTTCGGAGCCCTCCAGAGCAGCCGCACCTTCCTGCGCCACCGTGTCATGGAAGTCATGCGTAAGTGAGACTTTACCCAATTACACCTGCCTGCAGGTGTCTTATTCGGGTCTGTTCTGTGATTCAGAAGGACAGATTTTTCCTCAGTTCTTAATAATTGCTTCAAGTTGAGCTTCTTATGTTTGACTGTTCCAGTCCTGTGTTGGGGACATTGTGTTTCATGTGATATTTATAGAACATTTTGTTTCTTACTTTTTTTTAAAGATTTTATGTATTTATTTTTAGAGAGAGGAGAAAGGAGGGAGAAAGAGGACAGAAACATCAGTGCGTGGTTGCTTCTCGCACTCCCCCTCCTGGGGACCTGGCCTGCAACCCAGGGATGTGCCCTGACTGGGAATCAATCTGGTGACCCTTTGGTTCACAGGCTGGGAATCAATCCATGGAGCCGCATCAGCCAGGGCTTTAGAACATTTTACCTTGTGTATATTGTCCCTGTTCCCTTCAGGTGCGGGACAGTAGAATAGGACTTATAGGTGGTAATTCCTGTCAGATTCCAGGCAGCAGCTTCTTGCATGTTCCCAGCATTGCCTGCTTCCCACTGTGCCTGCAAAGATTCCCTTTGCCACAGAGAGTGCTTGAGCTCCCCACGGGGTCTTTGGGATTGTGGTTTGTTTTCCAAGGCAGAGAAAATGCCATGTTATTCTCAAAGCTTCAAGCTTCTCTGAGTGGTTTTTGTCATGAATCCATGATATGCTGGTAAGATAGAAAACCACTTCTTGTGTACGTACAAAACATACATTCCTGCTTTCTCCTTGTTCTTACTTCCCTCTGTCTTGGAAGGAGTGGCCTCTTCATTTTAACTGGCTACTCTGCCCTGTCTCCCATTTTATTTTCTAGCTTTTGTATGAGGAATTGAACCAAATCAGATTGTAATTTCATTTTTCTAATACTGAGGAACTATTTTTGGACTTTACCAAAATATGTCTAAATATTTTGGGCATATTTATGCTCAGGACTAAGTTTCTATATTGGCTGTGACCACCGTTCTTTATTAAGAATGAACTGCTTGTTTAGTAGCTGGAGGTTTCATTCCTGACGAGCATTTGGATGACCTTTAATACCTGCATGGCCCGTGGCAGAGAACCCTAGCTTTGGCAGCAGTATGTGTAACTGCTAAGGCTTCTTTATTTTTAGCAAGTATTTTGATAAAATGTTGAACTATCATAAGTCTAGATTTCCCCCTCCATAGTTACTTTAGAACCTGTGCAAATCATAACAGTTCGGATTCCTTCTTGATGGTATGACATGTTTGGTGGCATGTTCTCAGTCTCTTAAAACAAATTGCAGGCATGATGGAAAATGGGGAAGGGGAAAGTAGAACCTTAAATACCAGAGATTGACAAATTGTCACAATGTGAGAAAAGCAGCGTGGAGCTCTAATCTTCAATCTCCAACATCCCCCACTACCCCGGTGCACCCCTCTGTGAATGCTGTGAGGTCACATCTTCTCTGTGGAAAGGACTAGATATCACACTCCTCCTGGCTATTTTTACTCATTGCTGTTGCAGATTGGACATTAGGAGAAATGAATTCTGACACTGGCTTTGTTATGTGAATAATGTCACTGGGACAAATACTATGCAACCTGTCAGATTTCAGAGCCACCAGTTCAAGGCATGCTATGCGCCCTCTCATTTCCGAATGGGTTAAACATTAAGAGAGGAAATGTCCATATGTGTCTGAGATCCCAACAACACAGGCATTGTGAAGAGTCAAGTGCCATTTTCACACGCCCCCGTGACCCCCTCAGATATCACCTTCATCTCTGCTATGGAGCCTAGCAAAGTTTAAAACTATGACCTTTCTCCCATTGTTTCTTCCTACTAATTTGGAACCATAAATGTGAACAGAGACTTAGGGTCATTTGTGCGACTCATAGCTGTATAGCTATGGAGGGGTGACACCGACTCTTGCAGTATTATTCCTTCCTCCGGAGCATGCCTGTGGCACTGTGGACTGTTTGGCAGATTATGCTGCATTAGCCTGCAAAGGATGCTCTGTTGAAAAGGAGCAACTTCTGAGCCCAGTGGATAATGGATACTCAGCTCTGTGGCTTGGGCTTCATGGACACTTCTAATCTGTTCCAGCTCTGCTGTATGATTTGAAGGTTCCCCGTTGGGACTTCCAGACAGGGAGGCAGTTACGCACATCTCCTCTCTATGACCGGCTGGACGCGCAAGGAGCCAGGTGGATGGAGAAACATGGATTTGAGAGGCCAAAGTACTTCGTGCCACCAGACAAGGGTAAAAGGACAAATTCTCATTTTTGTTCACTTATTTTTGCCTTGAGAATTAATAAAGCTTATTTTTAAATATGTATGTGTTCCTGGAAGAAAAACCTGTTATGTTAAATTACACAATGAGATCCCTCCCATCCCCAATATAAATCCCCTCCTTTTCCCTCTCCCTTCTGCTCTTCTGTTCTGTAGACCTCCTGGCACTGGAGCAGAGCAAGACTTTCTATAAGCCAGATTGGTTTGACATTGTGGAGTCTGAAGTCAAGTGCTGTAAGGAAGCTGTATGTGTCATTGACATGTCCTCTTTCACAAAGTTTGAAATAACAGTAAGTATTTGGGAACCAATATAACAGACTAGGAAACGGTGCATATTTATTGAATGCATCTTTTTTTCATCTTCTCAATACTGATTCTTTAAGAACTCTGGTGTATTTTAATGTCTTGTCTTCTTCTTTTTTAAAAGATTTTATTTATTTATTTTTAGACAGAGGGGGAGGGAGGGAGAAAGAGATGGAGAGAAACATCAGTGTGTGGCTGCTTCTTGTGCACCCCCTACTGGGGACCTGGCCTGCAACCCAGGCTTGTGCCTTGACTGGGAATCAAACCAGCAACCTGTTGGTTTGCAGGCTGGCACGCAGTCCACTGAGCCACACCAGCCAGGGCTAATTGAATTTTCTTAGTAAGTCTCATTGCTGATCAGACTGTGTTACCAGCTAAATGCTCTTGTGCTCTCTGTGCTTTGTTTCTTCACCCTGCAGTCCACCGGAGATCAGGCATTGGAAATCCTACAGTACCTTTTCTCCAATGACCTTGACGTGCCTGTGGGCCACATCGTACACACTGGCATGCTCAACGAGGATGGAGGGTATGAAAATGACTGCAGCATAGCACGCCTGAACAAGCGCAGGTGAGGTCCGCTGCCGCCACCAGCGCCCTCCGCACTGGTTCCCTAAGGGGACTGTGGGAGAATGAAGCACCCAGCTCACATTTCCAGGAGACCAGAATTATACCAAAGACAAAAATATTCCATTATCTCATGCCCAGTTCATTAGCAGCCCAAGACAAAAAGAAATCGCCAGGAAAAAAAAAAACAACTGAACAGATTATGTAAAACTTGATGTGAAAAGTGAATTGCCCTTCTGAGAGAAGATGTCTTGTTGTGTATTAGCAGGGCAGTATAGTAACAGAAGCCAGAGTCTTCTGTTTGTCCTTATGTGGTGTGTCCTAGGGTTCTGTGCTACTGGTCCTCTCTGAAAGCTAAGTGCATTTGCCAGTGTTTTACTAACTGCTTTGAAAATAGCTGAGAACTTGATTGCTTCCTGATCCTTTTTTTCTGCTGCCTGGTTTTGATTACTTTTGTGTCTCACTTTCAGCTTCTTCATGATTTCTCCAACCGACCAGCAGGTCCACTGTTGGTCCTGGCTTAAGAAGCACATGCCACAGGACAGCAACCTGCTGCTGGAGGACGTCACCTGGAAATACACTGGTATTTCTCTCTGGGGGTCCTCTGGGGTCAGCTGCATGAGGACAAGCCAGGTGATCCAGCTTTGTCAGAATTCGAAGCATGGAGGAGGCTCTCTGATTATAGAAAACTGATCTCTAATACCCCCCGTGTCTTTTCAGTGACGCGTAAAATGAGTTCTTCAGTTACTGTTTTGTTCACTGCTATGTCCTCTACAACCAGCATGTAGGAGTGCAAATATTTGTTGGATGAATGAGTAAATAATTTTTACTTTCTTTTCTTTCGTTTTTTGTTTTCCAGAGTAGATTATTTTTAAAACATTTTTATATTATCTAAGTATTATTTTTTTCAAAATTTCCCCATAGGTTTTTTTTTTTTTTTAATCCTCCCCCAGAACATGCTTATTGACTTTAGAGAGATGGGGAAGGAGAGAGAGAGGGAGAGAAACATGGATGTGGGAGAGAAACATCGATCAGTTGCCTCTTACATGCATCCCGACCAGGGACCAAACCTGCATCCTAAGCATGTGATCTGACCGGGAATCAAACCTGTAGCCTTTTGGTTTACAGGACAACACACCAACTGAGCCACACCAGCCAGGGCACTTTTTTTTAAGTGAATAATTTTTAAGGATGATGTAAATTTCGTGACTGTCTCAGTGGTTCCGTCAGGGGAGCAGCCCTTCTCTAATGCCACCCACTCCATGTCTAGCACCGCCCCCCGCAACTTAATCTGTTCCTGCCCCTCACCCCACCAGGCCCTTATTCTCAATTCATCGTAGCAGCAAATATGATAAACTCCTGTTACCCGATTGGCAAACTACAGAATCGGCTTAAACCAAAGTTGTGTTCAGGCCCGTTATGAGGGTAGCTTATGTGCAGTGAGCACAAGCTGCTGTCACAAACATGAGAGAATCCAGAGGGACTGGGCAGCACCTTGCAGGGCTCTCCTCCTGGCCATGACTTGGGATGGGGGCTATTTCTGTCACGTAGCTACTGGGAAGATGAGGGGAGTGGGAATTGTGCAGGGGGTTATGTCTGGCCCTGTAAGAGGGCTCCTGTCCCATTGGTCAGGACTTGGTCTCATGATCCCATCTCACTTCAGAGGAGGCCATGGACTGTTGCCTTCCTGTGTCCCCAGGAAGAGGAAACTGTCTAGTCAGGCCCTGTTGTGCCCGCAGCCCGCGTCAGCAGGCCTGTTGGGAGAGGTGTGCTGCCCGAACCAGGCACCCCTTGGGTTGCCCAAGCGAAGCGGTGCGTTTGTGGCCTTGCCACCCAGGCCTGGTCGTAGGCGAGCAAGTCCACAACAGATCTTTCTCGTTAAGCTCTTTAGCTTGAGCGGCCAGACATCTCTTGTTCTTTTCTGTTTAGCCCTCAATCTGATTGGTCCTCGAGCTGTGGATGTGCTGTCCGAGTTGTCCTATGCGCCTATGACTCCAGACCACTTCCCAAGTCTCTTTTGCAAGGTGGGTGCTAGTCAAGTTCTAGTTTTTAGGTGGGTGGAGAGTATCTTTGATAGATGGCCATTACATCTATGTTGTTACTGTGTCATTAACCCCCCAATGTGTTGACTTTTACTAAATAAAATGACAGAATTCCTTTCTTTTTCACCCTTCAAGGTCTCCTTATTAGTAAGCATTGGTGTATATTTGAAGTGGATATAACTTCTCTGAATATCAGTTCTATATATTGCTTTCTATAGCAGTAGTTTAAAACTCAAGGTTACAGGATTACGACACAGGTGTCTGGGTTGGGCCCTCTCTCTGTGTGCTGGACTGCCTCTCTTTCATACCCAGAGTTGGAGGAACTGCTGCGTTTGTGGCGTATTCAGGTGATAAATGGTGTAGGTGAATCTCTCAACAACCTGGATAATTTTCTTATACTTGGCAACTATAGCTGAGTGAAACAGTTTGTAACTGAATGAAAGAAATAACTGAATACTCTCTAGGAAATTGCTGATTTGAGGTCCAAACAGATAGGTGTTTTTTGCCAACCTCTTATAGGCAGTTTGGCACAGTTCCTGACAGAGGCTCTCTAAAATTCAGACCAAAGTTGGGATCCGCCTACTAACTGATTTTACAGTTTCCCCTTTTCTCCATGGCAGAATCCTCACAGGAAGCCACTGGTGACGCCCTCACAGCGCTGCCTGTGCCTCGTGGAGCAGCGATCCATGTGTGTGCGCCTGCAGAGCGCTGAGTGACGTTGGGCTTCCTGTGGGAACTTTGCTTTAGTGCCACAGGACTTTCCTTTATGGGAACAGTAACTGAGAGCTGTGAACACACATTTTGAACATCAGAAGCCTGGTCTCAGACCTCAGGGTAGCACCTGAACTATCCCCTGGGCATATCAGGCATCATCTTTTGTGAGCAGGTGCCCAGGACTGTTTCCTGAGACCTCCTGAGGCGACATTTGCCTCCTGACACACCTGACTAAAACAGAGCTTGAGCAGGACTTTGCAGAAAGCAATATGCCATGCTTGTCAAAGACTTTGCCTCCACTTCCCGCCAGCAGCTTGGGTAGCACTCCCGAAGTTGATGGTAGTCATGGGAAGAGATCTTGTGAAGGCTGTGCTCCATTCCTAAGGCCCTGGATACCTGGAAACAGACCATTTTGAGGATGAAATTCTTTCATTCACATGTCTCTCTTTTAGGGTCAAAGGGTGCAGAGCTAAGGAGAAGGGTTTACTTCAGGCATCCATCCCACTTCCCTTAAAGTTTCGATGCTGACTCTCTCCCTTTGTTTCCACAGGAGATGAGTGTGGGCTATGCCAATGGGATCCGCGTGATGAGCATGACCCACACAGGAGAGCCAGGCTTCATGCTTTATATCCCCATAGAGGTGAGCAGCACGGAACAGGCATGCAGGCTGGCCCACGCCTGCTGAGCGCTGGCTGGGCTACAGAGCCGGGTCTGACTGCGCCTTGGTAATTGAATAGTCTGCGTTAAAGGAATTTTAACATGTTTAAGTTATTTTTTTCCTTTGAAGATTTTATTTTTAGACAGAGGGGAGGGAGGGAGAAAGAGAGAAACATCAGTGTGTGGGTGCCTCTCGCACCCTCCTAACCCAGGCATGTGCCCTGCCTGGGGATCAAACCAGTGACCCTTTGGTTCGCAGGCTGGCACTCAGTCCACCAAGCCACATGAGCCAGGGGTAAGTTATTTACTTTTTTTGAATAGGTAATACATTCACATGGTTTAAAAATAAAAATCCAAAGCGTTCACTTATACTTGACCAGTTCCTACCAGCTACTACCAGTGAGCTTAGTTTTCTCTGTCATGTCAGAGGTTTTTGAGCATATGGAGGCTAGGTCAAAGACACATTTAACCCCCCTTTTAGAATTACGAATAGAAACATACTGTTACTTTATTTCCTTACAATTTATCTTAGCTTTTCCTAGGAGTACCTGAAGAGAAAGAGCTCCCTCTTTTTTTTTCCTTTATTTTTTAATAGTGGCATAGTATTGTATCGTATAGCTAAATCATGATTTAATCAGTCTGGTTCTAATAGACATTTGTGGTGCTTCTAATCCTTTGCTATCATAAAAATTTCTTCAGTGTACAAGAGTGCCTTTTTTGCCCCGACCAGTGCTGCTCACTTGGAGCACCGTCCCATGAACCAAAGGGTCCCAAGTTGGATTCCCAGTTGGGCCACATGCCTAGATAATGGGTTCGGTCCCCAGTTGGGGTGGGTACGAAAGGCAACCCATTGACATTTTTCTCTCACTTCAATGCTTCTCTCTCTTTCTCTTCCCCTCCCTTCCCTTTTTTCTCAAATCAATAAGCATTTCCTCAGAGGGAGGATTAAAAAAGTGTTTTATTCCTCATTGCATGTATTATCACATGTAGATGCCGCTCTTTAGGATGATGGGTATAAAATAGTTTGTCAGTGCAGTTTTTTTAAAAAAAAATTATTTTTAGAGAGGGAGAGAAACCTTGTCATGAGAGATGTATTGATCTGTTGCCTCTCACACACCCCTGCCCGGGAACCTGGCCCACAACCCAGGCATATGCCCTGCCTGGGAATAGAACTGGCAAACTTTTGGTCCGCAGGTTGGGGCTCAATCCATTGAGCCATACCAGCCAGGGTGCCAGGGCAGTTTTAATTTCTCTTGTGTGTGAGGCTGAGCTACTTTTCAAAACCTTCTCACTCCAAGTAAAAGCACGTGCAGAGCTTACACAGTTCTGCCCACCCATTCTCCGTTTGTCGTCCAACGTCGTCTGGCCTGTCATCTCTGCCTCGCCCACTCCCTGCTAGTCTTTGAACATGAAAGGCTGCTCCCCTTTACCCTTGCTGTTCCCTTTCCCTTGGCGCATCCTTTTCTTCTACCAGACGGATCCCAAGCTCTTCTTCATCATGTACCTGCTTCAGGTAATAGTCACGGGTCACCTTTTTGGTGAGACCTTATTTAAAGTTGCAGTCCAACACCCAGTTCTCCCTATCTACCCTCCCTGTTTTATTTTTCTCAATTGTGTTTACCACCTAATAAAATACATTTTATTTTGTTCTTTGGATTACCCGTTTAAATATAAGTTCCCTGGGGGCAGAGATATTTAACTTCTATATCCCCAGGACATTAGAGAAATATTTGGCATAGAGTAAATGCTTAATACATGTTGTGTGAATGAATGTTCTGGCCCTGTCCTTGGTCTTTTCTGTTTAGCCCTCAATCTGATTGGTCCTCAAGCTGTGGATGTGCTGTCCGAGTTGTCCTATGCGCCTATGACTCCAGACCACTGTGTAGAATTATTGATCTTTTTACCAATTTCTAGGCATTCTCTCAGACAGTCCTTGCTGTGGAGTTGTAAATTTTTTTGGCCAGTTTTCCATTTGTCTTTTGATTTGTTGTATTTTCCACGCAGAAGGATTTTTAAAACTTAACTTTTCATTACGGAACATGTTTCGTATATTGCAGAAATTTTTATAATTTTTGTGTAGTTGAATTGATCAGACTTTTCTTTGTGACTTCAAGAGGTTGATATGTAGAAGGGGCTTCGCTACTCCTGGGCTATAGAATTTTTCCGTTTTTCTCCTGGTGCCTTTATGGTTTGTGTTTTTTAATATTTAAATGCTCCATCCTCTTGCAGATTCTCTTGGTGCATTTTATAAGATATGGACCAAGCTGTTTTTTTCCACACAGATAACCAATTGATTGGAGATTCTACCTTTATCAGACACTTGTACTTGGGTTTATTCCTGGTCTGTTTTACTCTGTGCTACTGGTCTATTTGTTCATGATCCAGTAAAATAATTACATTGTTTTAATTATTTGTTATTATATTGTTCAATATTTGTAAGTGCTTATCCTCCATCATAGCTTAGAAAACTTTGGAAAAGAAAAACAATTCCTGTCTCCTGTTCTTACAGTATTCTTGAATCTTACAGTCAGAGTATGTCTTAGTTTTTATTCACATTTTTTTGGTAACTTTCAGAGATTTTGAAGTTTTCTTCATGTAGATGTTTTGTGTTTCTCATTTATTTGAATATTTTGTTGTTGCTACTGCGAATGGAAAGAGTCTTTGTTTCGTTACCATCTAAGTAATTATGATTTATGAAAGCCATTTTTCCTGTATATTGATTCTTTAACCTAAGTCCTTACTAAATCATTTATAGTTGTTTTTTAGTTGCTTCTCTGGAATTTCCAGGGTTCAATCTTACCATATAAAAGGTTAAGTTTTTCTTCTTCAACAACTTTTTCCCCTACCCTTTCTTTCCCTGCCCCGTTGTGACAAGTAGCAGTGACTGTAGGCATCCTTGTCCTGCTCCTAACATTAGGCCTTTTACTCGCAGTGTTAGGGGGTTTGTTTTTGTTTTTTTTTTGAATAGTTCATTTTTAACTGTGTTTGTTCCCCATTACCATTTATCCCCCACTTCCACCTCCTCCTATGCCCCCTGCCCAGGAGTGTTAGGTTTTAATCATTCAGCGAAGCACAAATTTATCTGCCATGAAATCTCATCTGCTTTTCCACACTCGGAAATATAAAAATATTAAGAGGGGATTATTCATGACTTAATTAGGATTGATACAAATGTAGCTGACACACTGTGCCTGTAGGACAGGACGGATTCTGAAGGGCTATGCCAGCTGGGAGCCCAGGTTGCCAAGGGGTCAAGCCCCATCAGGAGGAGAGGCTCTGTGGGAGGCCCTGCTTTCCAATTTTCCGGGACTGGTGCCACGCTTGTGATTTTCCCAGCAGTTAGTGGGAAAATGAGTCAAGGATGGGGGACCCAATTTTCCCTTTACTCCTCTCATCTAGCCCAGAACTAATGACCTGCTTTAAATCTTTCTTCCTTTGCCATCCTCTTAACTCAAGTATTCAGCTTGAAGACAGTAAAGCTCCGAACCCACGAGAGAATGGCTCTTTATTCCCCTTTCCCTGCCAGTCTCCAAAGGCCTCCCCGCCCTACCTCCCCCCGCCCCTTGGCTAATTCAGATGTTTCACTGGCACATACCAGGCTGTGTTTCCCCTTTCCCACATTCAAAGTTGTCTTGACCACACTGGTCTGTTCAGTTAGTCGCCCGTTCAGCTGCAGTGGTGCAGTTTATAGAACAAAGTGCATTACCAGGGTAAAGTATTACAATACCAAAGAGGCTGTTTTTTGTTTTCTCCCCATTGAGATATGGTTGGCATACATCACTATCTTGTTTAAAAAGGTGTACAGCGTAATGGATTGACTTAATATATTGTGAAATGATTACTGCCCTAAGTTTAGCTAGCACCCATCATCTCATGAGATGGGGAAAAACCCAAACTGGTTATTTTTACTTATGAGAACTTGTTCCATTGACTTTCCTATACATCATACAGCAGTGCTAACTATTGTCATGGGGTTGTACATTTCACCCCTGCTACTTTTTCACTTATCACTGGAAGCTTTTATCTTGATCACTTTCTTCCAGTTCCCCCTCCCTCCACCCCCCACCTCTGGTAACTGTAAGTCTGATTGCTGCTTTTATGAGATTTTTTTTGGTTCGCAGGCTGGTGCTCAGTCCACTGAGCCACACCAGCCAGGGCTAAGAGAATTTTTTTTTTTTTTAATTCCACATAGAAGTGAGATTTTATGGTGTTTGTCTTTCTCTGACTTAATGTTGTATCCTGTTTTGTCTTTAATTTTGTATCTTGTTTTGTCTTTTACAGTTTTTAAAGTGTCGTCTATTACTAGGCTTTAAACTTTACAGAGTATATTTAGATAAGAAATGAATATTTTGCTTCCAGTTTGGAAAATTTCATTTATTTGATACTTAACAAGTTTCTGGAACCAAGAAAAGAGCAATGTGAGCAGGAGGTGTCACAGGACGCGCGTGGGAGAGCTCTGCTGGCCTGGCCCTATCCGGGGTCTCTGCCTCTGCAATACGCTGTCATCTGTGTGGAATACCAGGTGTTAGGTGCACGTATCCAGAGTGAGGTGTAACATCTCATAGCATGACCAGTGCACCAGGGAACTGGGGCAAACAAAGCCAGAGGTGGGTGAGTGGGCTATTTGGGAAGCAGTTCTGAGACTGGTCATTTGCTGAGTGGTAAGAGTGCTTCTATGAGTTATTCTCCTAGACATTAAAAGATATGGTTGCTGCTTTCATGGAGCTTAAGTCTGGGTTAAGGGTGACCTTGGCTCATTATTCCTAAGTTGTAGCACTTTGGTTTGTGGATGAGACATCGTGAGAATTTTATACAACCCTCGTCCGTGTCCAGCGTCAGACATGTTCTGTGTTGAAAGCTGAAGGTCTGCTTGCTTACCTTTCGTCTCTCCCTCCAGTATGCCCTCCACGTCTACAATGAAGTGATGAGTGTTGGACAGAAATACGGAATCCGGAATGCTGGGTACTATGCTCTACGTAGTCTCCGAATTGAGAAGTTTTTTGCCTTCTGGGGTCAGGATCTGAACACCCTCACCACCCCCCTGGAATGTGGACGCGAGTCGCGGGTGAAATTAGACAAGGTACTGGGTCTGCACACCTGTCGCTCCCCTCCCCATGCAGGGCGTCACGTTGGAGCAGGAAGCGGGGATGACGGGGAGGGACGCGTCGGAGTGTTGTGACCTCAGTGATAGCATCAGGTGAACGGTGACAGGATGTCCTTAGGATGGAAAGTGTCTTGATGGGATAAAACATCTCAGTATGAAAATAATAAACACTTGTTTTCAGTGCTTTGCTCTCCTTTAGACTGACTGCTTTGTGGGGAAGTTTTTCTGAGTGGATTATGGTGATACCATAACATGCCATGATTATTTGTATAAGTTAGTCACCTTCCACTCAACTGCCTCATTGTTTTCTTTTCAAAGTAATACATGAACACAACTTTTTAGGAAGTCATAGTTCAAGAGGATGTTCAGGGAAGTCTCTCCCCTACCCGTGAAGCCCACCCGTCTTACTGCCCCTTTCACCAGAAGCAGCAGCCTCGTGTTTTCAGAGCTGCAGTGTGGGGCAAACACGAGTGTATTACTTCTCCTTTTTTTTAACTGAGATGGTGGGATTCTGCACAGTTGCTATGTTTTAGCAGCCATTCTCTATCATTACAATTTACAGTATTCTTTTTGAGGGATTATAAATAACTTTTTTCCTGATATAAAAGTAATGAATACTTATTTTGGAAAATGTAGGTATCATTCATATTTTATCTGTTGAGACATAATCCCTATTGAGTTTATTTTATCCTGTTCTTGTTTTCGTACATATGCATGAACATGTATGCATGGAACTTTTGTTGAAATTATATAGAAACACTGTTTTTCTAAATTCTACCAAATGTTTTTGAGTGTCAGTTTTTCATTTTAAATATTTTTGTTCTACATGGTCTTGTGATGGAAATCCATGTGTATAAGAGAAAAAAGAAACACAGGTACCTATGATATAAAAGTTCTCTGAAGGTGTCTTTTATTTGTGAATGCTGTTTTTCACCTGGTGGGAAACAGTTTCCCCAAAGGCTGCCCAGGGCTGCGGGGAGAGCCCTGGGCCTCACTACAGTGACGGGGTGGCTCCCAGAGTGGCGCCCACGGGCCGAGAGGCAGGGTGTAGGTGACGACCCAGTGCTACCTTTCTTTCCTAGGGGATGGATTTCATTGGTCGAGACGCCCTGCTGCAGCAGAGGCAGAACGGGGTGTATAAGCGCCTCACAATGTTCATCCTGGACGACCATGACACGGACCTGGACCTCTGGCCTTGGTGGGGAGAGCCCATTTACCGAAACGGGCAGTATGCTGGCAAGACCACTAGCAGCGCCTACAGCTACAGCCTGGAGCGCCACGTTTGCCTAGGCTTTGTGCACAATTTCTCTGAGGACACTGGGGAAGAGCAGGTGGTGACAGCAGATTTCATCAACCGGGGGGAGTATGAGATTGACATCGCAGGACACCGGTTCCAGGCCAAAGCCAAGCTCTATCCGGTCGCCTCCCTCTTCCCCCTTAAGCGCCGCAAGGATGATGTGGAGCTAAGTGACTTGCATGGGAAATAATGTCAGGCAGTTTCACCTCCTCCCCGGGGGTCTTAGGAACCTCTGTCCCGATCCTGTTCCTCTTCTTGATTTAAACCTTTGCCTCCCATCTCTTATCTCCTTGATGTAATTTTAAACTTTCTGCTTTGCAACCTCTCTTGTCCTTTCATTTCCTCCCTGGTGCAGTTCCCCGTCTCCTAACATTCACTCTGGGCTGTTTGTCCCTCTACCCCTCAGATTCTCGTGGTGACAGGAAGCATGTATGGCAGGACAGCAGCAGACCCCGTCTGTGGAAGGGAGTCATAGTGGGCAGTCTGATCTCTAATGCTGTGTGGGGAAGCTGCTGGTGTGCAGGCCTCGGGGCCAGAGCCCAACGCTTGTGGGCCCAGCGTTCAGGGAGTAGCCTGGTAACTTGGGCGGGCTGCCGTGTTCGCATCAGTCTGCTGCGCTGCAGGTTGGCAGCCTGGTACCTTAGCAAGATGACCATCTACCTCACTGATGAGTGGCGCCGTGTGGGTGTTACAAGGCTGCAGCGGAGCACGTCGGCCTGGCGCCGTCCCCAGCCTCCCTGCCAAACTAGTTATCAGACTGCAAGGTCAGGGCCACCTGCCTATAATTTTTCTTCATCTCTTGTTAATCTCTATAATGAGGGGTTTTGCTTGTTTAGTTGAGTAAACAAGTAAGCCACAGTTTACTTGTTTGAAAGGGAAACAAGTTGCTTTTGAAAGGGAAAAAATGATGTTGCTTTTTCCCCGAGGAAAGAGTCCTAACCTCAGAAAGCACCAACACAAACAATGCTGTTTTCTACTGTGAAAACAGTGCTGTTCTCCCAGCTACTCCAAGTTCAGTCATCCCACCTTGGGTATCCCCACGGGTTTCCTTGCCTGTCCCTTCAGCAGTAGGCCCACCAGCTCAGCAAGGGTTTCTCCCTTGGAGGGAGAGAGGGTAGAGCGTGCCGTCCTTGTCCAGTAACTAACCCTCGCTGGCCATGCTGCGTTCACGAGCACTGCAATCTCAGGTTCTGCCTCCTCTAACACCGAGGAGACAGGTCCGCAAATGACCCCCGTGGGTCCAGAGGGTTCTGAGTCGGGGGGCGGGGGGTGCATGCCACGTGAGCCTAGCAGGATGCTTTCCATCTTCTCTTTCCCTGTCCAGCCATTTCTCTGACCCTCTGTAATAGAAAACGACCTGGAGTGCCCGCAAGAGGGCCACGCACAGTTACGTGGTGTCTCTTTTCTAATGGTGAAACCTGAGTGATATCTGAAACTGTGTTATCCCTCCCAATACTTAAATTTTCCCTTGTACCCAGTCTGATTGTTTTTAAGTATAAACTGCTGTTAGAGATGTAGAGAATTAACCTGCAGCCTTTGTTTTCTTGGCATCTGAAGAGCGTTAGCTCTGACAGGTCTCTATAGTAGAGAAGATGCTCTCAGGTGCTGACCTGCTCTGGCTTTTCCGTTTACCACTTGATCAGACTGCCTTCTGCCAGACATTTCTTGCCATTTCCCCAGCCAGACACCACCTGCTTGATTGGTGCCCCCCCTTTTTAGGTTGTCTCATATGGTTTATTAAGGGAGCAGGTGATTAGAATTGCTCAGAGGGCCTTGCTCTTCTGGTGCAAACGTGTGTGTAACTGGCTGGGAGATGCTGCTCCCAGGCAGAGGAGAGGGGCCGTACCAGTGCAGGTGTGACCAGCAGGCGGCGACTGGCCCAAGGTGGAAACAGGCCATAGTGAGCTAAAGGCATCGCAGGCTCCACACACCGCCCCCCCCAAAGACTCTTCTTGAGTCATGCACGAGTTGTATCTCGCTGTGGACAGGCAAGATGACACTCTTCTAGGGCATCACTTGTTTATGGAGTGCCCTGAGCACACGTCGTTTTTTGGCACTTTAAAGTTCTCCCCTGAAGTCTGGTTTGTGTTTTTTTTTTTGTTCAAATATGAGCAATGTGAATCTGGTAGTTTTCTCTATTTGGTGAATCTGAGGGGGAGGACTTTCCCCGCCTCTGGCATAATTGTTAATCAAAACATCTAATTTGCATTTCATTTCCATCTCTGGGGCAGTGGTGCCGCATGTGTTTGTCTTGTGCGACAACTCACCTCTCTAGGGATTTGAGTGGTTTTGGATTCTTCTGAGGGGTTGGACTGTTGAGTTTTTGGTTGGTGCTTTTTCGTCTGAAATGGCCCATCACCTCTTGTCTCTCCTGGGGAGGGCTCTTCACGCTGCATCTAGCTCCTTAGCGTATTCAATTGAAGGATCTTTTTGAACCTAGAGACACAAAGTGTGTTAGCCCCAAACTGATGACCCAGGTTTCGCATCTCCTGGGCTCCTTCTCCTCCCCTGACATAACATCTAAGCCCCTCATCACTCATGCTACACATACGTTCTGTGTCTTGGCACTGCCACGGTCATTTGACCTAAATCGAAGCTTGCATCAGAAATGACGTCACAAGTCAGGAAAGTTGTGAGCAAAAAGGGACAGAAGTTACCTGCTTGGATAGCCCGTTGGATGTCCTTTAGCTTGTGATGCACTCACGCACATCCACTGCCTGGGCAGGACAAGCTCCAGGAGAGACGGGAACACCTCCCACTACAGCGCTTGTGCTTTTCTGGGGAGTCCTTCTACCCCCGAAACGTGAGCAGCGCCCTTCAGGCTAGGGACCCAAAGACCGTTTAGCCCAGTGACCCCATTTCTGAAGGAGGGGAGCGGTCACTAAGGGACGACTCACCACACTGATCTCTGGCTCTGGTGTATGGACGGTGGCCAGCACCTGTGTCGTCGCCACCCTTTCAGAGCCTGAGGCAGATGAAAGGGACTGTCCTGTGACCTGTGGTCTTGGTTCTGACCTTGAAGTCTGTGCCTTGTAGAACAGTTGCATGGGCTTGCTTTCGGGGGCTAGCTACAAGGTTCACTCTCCTACTCCTTTATTGCTTTTTAGGCAACAAAGATCCCAGAATCCTCATTAGTATCTAAGGTGGAGGTTTGGTCAACAGAGCTTAATACTGAAGAGTAACTTCCTGTTTTCATTCCCTCCGCCCCAAAACCCCCGTCCTTCCCATCCCTCACAGACTTTGCCCTAAGCAGCATTTTATCAGCATGACATAGGGGACATTTTCTTGTGAGGGAGGGAAGGATTTTTGTCTCATGTAGCATTTCTAGGCACATGGATTCAGAAGCACAGTTGAGTTGGAGAAATGGTAGGTGAAATAGTTGAGGTTTTGGGCGTTAACTACGATGTCCACCAGTAACTTGTGAACACGCGCTCGGCGCCTGCCTGTCAGCGCCTCCCCTGCGGCCTCCACTTCAAGGTGCTGAGTTGTAAGGCTCCTTCATTGTCAGTACGGGGCTCACATTTGCAGTCCCTCATCACTAACAAATGCACTATTTTTCAAGAGGACTGAGTATTTTTGTATGTGTTTGCCTTCTCTTTGTCCATTAAATACTGGTGTTCCTTGTATAATATGATTTTTGACTTTGAGCAGAATGTATTCCTTGGAGAATTACACATTTCTCATGGCCATTATTCTCATGATATTTAGATGCAGTTATTTTTATCTTTTGCAAACAATCTGCCTTCTCCTTTTTCTGTCTCTCGAGGACAGATATTACAAGAGGTGGGAAGGATATTTTTAGCATCTGTTTCAAAAACTCTAAGCCAGGAATTCCTTTGCACACCAAGAACTGGAGCTTGGAGCATGTCTTTTCTCCACGCCAGGTTCTCGTGCCTTACACTCGAGAATGTCACATGGTGGGCGGAGAGAGGAAGGGCACAAAGGAAACTCCCTTTCAGCCTGAGGGTTCCCATCACCCTGCTCAGCCTCCCCTCCCCAGAGCAGGTGGGCGTGGGGACAGAGCGGCCGCAGCCTGTCTCAGCGCGGGCGTTCTGGCAGCACAGCTCACACTTGACTCTGGTCAACTCTGGGGAGGTATCAAAGCGCCACTGTAATTGCTGTAAAGTGCTATAGCTCATTATTTGCGTTTGTAAATGTGCGGTTCTGTCCAGCCCTTTCTGTCCCTGTGCAGCGTTCGCTGGTGGTCCTGAAGACATTTGAGGCACCCGGGTAAAATGGGATCTTTTCTCAAGAGCCCTGGTGTCGTATTTCTGCCCTCCATGAACACGGTATTAACATTGTGCACTGTGTTTCTATCAAGCCAGATTTCAATTAAGATTTTCTTTTCATGTTACGAGGTTTGTAAATGAATAAACACTCTTTAATTACTCTTACCTTGTCTGCGAAATATTCTTTATGTGTATGTGTTCGCCATCACAAAGATAAACATCACACATAAAACTGTTGATTCCTGTGTTACAAAGTAAACAATGTGGTGACTGAGATGAAGCAGGTACAGTAGTGCAGTCAGTGGTGGCCTGGCTGGAGAGAGAGAGCCTCCGTTCCTCCTCCTGAAGTCACTGTCACTGAATTTGACATCCTTACAGTTGACTTCATATGAAGGACCTGGTTCTTCTGTTTCCCACACAGACGCTGGCTCACAGGTACGTCAGGAGTATGTGCGTTCTTGGCCACACCTGTGGGGAGAGGAAGGCACCGTCTCAGAGAGGCAGGCGGGGGTCTTTTACTACACTGAGCTGCCATCCACAACTAACTCCCTGGACTTAATCTGTTGATCCAGTTTTTGAGCAACTACATTTGGGAATCCATGGGTATGTTAACATGCCTGTAACAATTTCATCTTGTATTCTAAATCTACATCTTTAATTTCCTGTTTCATTATTGGTCAATATTTGTTACAACTGGAAGAGTACATAAAAACATCTGCCCCACAGTCTCCAGGGCTAACTCCAAAAGAGGAGTCCCAAAAGCATTTTGAACGACGACATTTCAGGAATGTCTGGAGACCCCTTCCATGGTAATTATTTTGAAGAAGACACTAAAATTACATGTACCTTCTTATTACTGACATGCCGGGTTAAATACATTACATGCCATTTTAACAAGTAATTCTAGAAAGGAAGAAGCCCAGCAAGCTCAGTGTGAGACAGACTTACTTGCCAGCTCCCCTGCCAAACGAAAGGCCAGCAGAGTTCATTCCTGCCAGGACAAAGTAGCCCCGCACCAAAGGAGACTCGCCCATGATGCACCTCATGTCTGGTGTGAAGGTCTCGGGGCAATTCACCAACTTCATGATCTCCAGAGTCTCCAGCTCTGGCATCCTCCGCAGGAGAGAACTCAGCAGGGGCTCTGAGCAGTACAGACAAAGCCAAACAGAGTCCTCAGCTTCAGGGAATTCAAAACTCCCAACTCCCTCTGCTGTCATAGAATCTCTTGGGAGAGGTTTTCTAAGAAGAGCCAACTGGGCCACTTATCAGAAAGCAGAAGCCTGGATGGAATTATGGAACACACCTACAGAGCGCCTGGCACCAAGACTGAGAAAGAAGATGCTCTGGAAAAGGAAGGAGCTATGGGAGAGCCGGTAAGACACGTGCATGCAGGTAAGGATCTCGAGGGCTCGGTGCGGAAGCTCCCACACGGCACCCGAGAGAGGTGCGACGAAAGGGCAGGCAGGGCTCCCTAAGCTGGAAGAGCTGCAGAGACAGACGCTCAGCCCGTCTGCGGTCTGTCACCGAGGAGTGGTCCAGCGGGACAGTGGCAGACCAGAGCTGGTTGATGGGCGCGTGGGTTTCCTTGTGCTATGCTCTCCACTTTTAAGAGCTTGAGTTTCCCATAGTAATGTAGGTTTAGAGTTGTGAGTACATGAAACACAAGAGTTTACCCTTGTATTATTTACAAATTATTGTATTTGTTTAGCTCACACCTATTTTTTTTTTAAATCTATCTAATGGGAGGGAGTGTGGTCCCCGACATCTGTTTAGTGTGTCACTACAGAATCTGAAGCCTCTACACACACAAAAAAAGTTCCAGATAAAAGGTAAGTAAGAAAACCAGAGACCCCCGCTCTTGTTGCTGACCTACCTGACCAGCACAGTTGACAAAATACTGGCATTCGATCTGTTCTTTATCTGTCTCCACGCCGGTAACTTCACCTTTTCTGACCATCACGTGAAGAACGCTTGTCCGGTCATAGATCTGAACCCCTGTTCGAAGGTAGAGAGTGGGGACATCGGTCCTCTGATGTTCCAGAATCAAGGCATCTGTAGCAGATTTTCAACTCACAGGCAATACTGAAAAGGCCGGTCAATGCTTTAATTTCAAAAAGACAAAAAACTCCTAGGAACCACACCCAGAGACTGTAAATGAGGCTGTCCAAGGTTAAAAATGGCAGGCAAATTTAGTGACTGACTTTCGCGCACAATTAAATTTCAGGAATGATAAAAGGGGTGGGGGGAAAAGTTCAAACAGGGCACCTTAAACCCTAATCTGTCCACATCATGAATTTATGACACTGTCCCCTCCTGCCCTATTGACCCCAACTCGTTCCTTTATTCTAAGCAGATACGTGCCTCATCTCATTCCCTGACTCCACCTACAGAACCACCAGGCACCTACAACCACCTTTTCCTTCTCTCATCGGGTCAAATGTCTTGAACCCGGTGCCATCACTATCCTCTCACGTACCTTCAATGTTTCCTGTCCTCTGCGTATAATGTGCTCAAGTCCTTCTTAACTGATTTAAGAGATGAAACAAAGCTCCTCAACTTTCAATTAGTGATTTTTTTTCATGTGTCAGTACTTTTAATATTGAACACAATTAATAGTAAAAAAGTATAGTCAGTATACTATAAACAAGATGTAGCCCTCCATTTCCATGGTCAGCACACTGCATTAGAGTAAACCAAGTTTATATTTGACCATGAAGTGTGGTTCTCCCATTAGTTTACTTTGTGATGGGTCATTAAGAATATCTTCAAACCCAATAGTCTCGTCATTACCCCTCAAAATGTCCAGTGAAAGATTCGAGCTTGGAAAAGATGGAAGACGCTGAACCTGTTGCGCTGCCTTGAATTCCATTCGCAATTTTAGTGGAGCAAACAGACCCTGGATGTTTCTCAGTGTGGAAAACTTCATTTTATCTTGGTTGAGCTGGAAATGTTTTCTGATAATTCAAGAGGATGACTGGGCAAAAGTTCCTTTTTCCCTCAAGTAAAACCGTTTCGCAGATCACGACTTTCAAAAGGCCCGTTTGCGGAAAGCTCCGTCTCTGGAATGCCACTCTTCAGCTGAGAGCCCAGCCCTCTGGCATGCATTTTCCGCTTGCTCTGCCAACAGCCTGTCTCAGCTCTCTTCAATCAGTGACTTTTAATTTAAGAAATCTAAACTATAAAACTTACAGGCTTTGCAAAAACTCAAATACAGGAGAAAATTAAGTTTTCAAACCACACAAAAATGATGGTATTGGGTACCAGTGTTTATGGTATTTTCCCAGAATTTTGGGTTTTGAAGCAACGTGTTGCCCCGATGTCCACTGTCCGCCACCACATTAAGTTCCTCTTTTCTTATACCTTAGTGATTGCAGCCTGCCAGCTGGTTTTTTAAGCAAAAGTTTATTCTTAACATGTATTTTCAACCTGTATTTTTTCACTTGACAAAAATAATATGCAGCAAGGGTTGCTTTATAATGCTTCTCACTTTCCACCCGCCCTGCTCTCTCCCGAAGCACACACGACCGGCTCCCGCCCCACCGCAGCCCGACACGCTCCCCTCGGCGCGGTGCCGACTGCGCGTGCGCACGGACACCGGGCCGCTCCACAGCAGCTGACAGTGCGGAGCGCTCCCGCTCAGGCGCTGTCCTCCTCTCATCAGAAACCTACTCCCCTGGTCACAGCTTTGCTGACCCTCCCTCCTCTGCCCGTTTTTCCTGTTGATGTCCTCGAGGGCTGCAGAGAGCTGCTCTTCCTGGGCCACCGCTCTCCAGCGTGATTCCCTTCGGCCATGCCGCAGGGCCTAGCCCGGAGCAGTCCTGAGCGTCCCCCGGCATTCCCAGCTGGGGCCTCTCTACTTGGATTCCCGCAGGCCAAACTGAGCCCATCTAGAAGGGAAACACACCCTCAATCTCCGTGTCCGCTCCACTTCCTGTGTCCCCCAGAGACTCCACATACCAGAATCCTTGCTGTGATCCTGGCCAAGCCCCTCAGCTCTGAGCCTGCCACCCTACCTGAACCTGCCCCTTCACACCTGGTGCGCTGACCCTTCTGTGTCCTCTCTCCTCACACTGCACCGCTCTCAGCACCGAGTCTGCCACGCTGTGTAAGGGCTGGTTTGCAACCAGGGAAGCAACACAGCAACCCAGTGATACCGCGGGCTGTTGAGGTAGGCAGAGCTGGGTCTGAAAATGTCCCCACCTCACACTGGCTGTTGGCCTCTGAACAAGTTATTCAATCTCTCTACTTCGGGCTCCTCATCTGTACCATGCGCGGGAACATCTGCCTCAAACAGTTGCTGCAATGACTAAATCAGACAATACAGGAACACAAGGCCACTGGCACCTAAGAAGCACTAAGTGGTAGGTTTTAGTGCCCTAAATTTTACGGGCTCGCTGAGAGCAGGGACCAATATAACTGGACCGTCATTGTCCTAGCATTCAGCGTAGGCACTTCAGAAATACAAGCTGGTGAAAGAGATAGGAAAAATTAGATGATGATTCTGAGATCTCAATCTTGAAGTCCCTAGGTTTGAGGAGCTGAAAGAATTTTAAAAGAAAAAAAAAAAGTAATACTAATATAGTTACAATGTGCCAAACACTGCTTGATGTACACAACTGAAATAATCCTCATAACCCTATAAAGTAGGTGTTGTAATTTCTATACTACAGTTGAAACTGAGGCAGAGAGAAATGACGTGACTCACCAATATCTCCTATAACACTGGTGAGTGGCAGAGTCAGGCGTCAAACCCTGCCAGTCTGGCCCTGGGGTCTGTCATTTAATCATTACTCCACCCTACCTTTAAAATGGAACCAGACATCTGGCCAAGACGGTAGAGGAGGTAAACATTGTGTTTGCCACCTCCCACGATCACATCAAAATTACAACTAAATTATAGGACAACCATCACTGAGCTCCACCTGAAGACCAGCTGAACAGAGTCCTTACACTGAAGATATAAAGAAGCCACATGAAGACTGATAGGTAGGTAGGCAGGTAGGAAGACAAAATGGGCAGGTTCCACACCCATGGTGTGTTGATTAAGAAGTGGGAGGGACATCTCGGTTGCAAAGATCTTCCCTAAGGAGCGAGGGTTACCCACCCCACACCAGCCAGGCTTCTCTGCTTAGGGCACCAGTGCTGGGAAGAGGAGACCCTATAACATCTGGCTGTGACCATCAGTGGGGACTGTGGCTGAGTGAGACAGGGCTTCTGGAGTCCTAGGCGTTTCCCTTGAGGAGCCACACATGGGCTCACTTGCTCACAGACTTACTCGTTCTGAGCTCCACAACAGGGGCAGCAGCTGGCAAAGCGCCAGAAATATACAAGAAGAAACTACCCCAGCCTCCCACCCCCCTGCCCCACTCAACTCAAGCACCCAGCCTGAGCTGTTCCCAGTAGCTTTTCCACCCAAGTGGCTGGCTTCAGCTCACACTGTGGACTTTAAAATTTCCCCAAAGATCCACACCCCAAACATGCACCACTCAGCAGCATGCCTCAGCGTGCCCTGTACTTCTTGCTAAGCAGCCCCAAGCCAGGCACAAGTGGTGACAGGTCTCAGCTCGCACTGTAACTTCCATCAGATGGCCCCAAGCCTGGCAAAACCTGCAGCCAGTGTTGGCTCGGAGCCTAGCTCAACTAAGCAGCCACAAACGCAGCGCAAGTGATCGCGGGCCTCGGCTCACATCCTGTGCCCACCAAAGGGTCTCACGCTCGGCACTAGTAGCAACTGGCCTTGGTTCACATCATAGCCTCTCCTGAGCACCTCAAAGCCCAGCACAAGCAGTCACTGACCAACCGCAGATCACTTTGTAGCTCCCGCCAGGTGGCCCCATGCTAAGCACAAACGGTGGGTGACCTTGACCTGCACTGGAGCTCCTCCCAAGGGGCTCAAGAAGCAACGCACCCAGCGGCCAGCTTCAAACCACACCAGAGCATCACCCAACCAGTTCCACCATTGAGACACTCCAAGGGCACACTCGGTTGGCACCAGAGCCCCGCTAAAGTGATTCCCACTCCGTGGGGTCAGCATCCACAACAGCTTGTCCACTGTAGTCACAACCAGCTCCCACAGCCAGTCAGCCTGAGGGTCTATCCCCCCAATGACATGCCAGCAGCAATCAGGCATCACCACAAAGGGAATACACAACCCACCCAAGGGACACCCCTAGAGCACCTGGCTAAGGTGACAAGGGATGCTGTGGCACTGGACCTCACAGGACACTTACTATTCTTCCAAGGCAGAGAGACATAATAGATACCTAATATACAGAAACAAAGAGAGTTAGCCAGAATGAGGCATTAAAGATACACATCCCAAATGGAAGGACAGGAAAATACTACAGAAAAAGAACTAAACGAAATGCAGATAAGCAATCTACTAGATACAGAGTTCAAAACACTGGTTATAGGGATGCTCAATGAATTTAGGGGAAGAAGAGATGAACTCAGTGAGAACTTTAACAGAGAAATAGAAAACATAAAAAATAACCAGTCAAGATATGAGGAATATAATAACTGAAATTAAGGATACATTAGAGGAAATCAACAGTAATTAGATAAAGCAGAGGAACAAAGCAGCTAACTGGAAGACAAATAAAAAACACAATTAAAACAGCCAAAAAAAATTTTTTTTCTTTAAATTTAAAGATTTATTTACTTTTAGACACAGGGGAAGAGAGGGAGAGAAACATCATTTTGTGGTTGCTTATTGCGCAGCCCCTACTGGAAACCTGGCCTGCAACCCAGTCATGTGCCCTGACTGGGAATCAAACCGTTGACTCTTTGGTTCGTAGGCCAGCACTCAATCCACTGAGCCACACCAGCCAGGGCAGAAAACAAACTTTTTAAATGAGCATAGTTTAAATCGGACAACATCCAGTGAACCAACATTCATATCACAGGGGTATCGGAAGGAGGAGAGAGTGAGCAAGGGATTGAAAACCTATTTGCAAAAATGACTGAAATTAACTACATGGAAAAGGAAATAGACACACAGGTCCAGGAAGCACAGAGAGTCCCAAACCAAGACACATCATAATTAAA